AAATTGATTTATAAAAAATAAAGACGGTAAACAATACAACAAAAAGCCGGTCAATGTAGAAACCAAACCACAATTGAGATTAAGATACATTTAAAAAAGTAATATATTTATATATAGCTCTCAACTTAAGCTAGGATTTCCCACATCACATGTACATTTTTTTTCAAATAATCACGCTCAACAGATAATCCGATTAACGAATAAAGGGGAATTAAAAAGATTTTATTAACGAATAAAGGGGAATTAGTTACCTAAATAGAATGAGAGACCTTATAGCGAAAAATTTACTTTGCATATATTATATATGATATGATTCTAAATGTTTTTTTGATTAAATTCCAATTTTTAAATTTTCGTTATTTTCTATTTTAAATATTTTTTGATTAAATTTCGATTTTTAATAATTTTTATTAAATTTAAATGTTTTTTGATTAAATTTCGATTTTTAACAGTTTTTTTAATTAATTTACGATTTTTAATATTTTTATTTAATTACAATTTTTAATATTTTTATTTAATTAAAATTTTCATATTTTTATTTAATTACGATTTTTAATATTTTTTAATTAATTTATAATTTTTAATAATTTTGTTATTAAAATTAATTAAAAAAAATATAAGAAGGGGTAAAAGGTAATTAACTACCCTAAAATTGAATGAGAGAGCTTTAACTCAAAATTTTATTTTGCTTATAATATCTATAATATAATTTGACTATTTAAAGCCCACTACCTCAGTGCACATATAAACGCTTAATAATTCATGCCATCATGAAGCCATTACATTGTCTTAAAACATTAACCTCAAATTATTTCCCACTAATTAGATTGTTCCAGTGTTGAGTATTGGCTAATTAATAAATTATATATTTGCAAAAAAAAAAAAATTAATATACAGAGCTAGGTCAGGGGGAATGTAGAACTAACACTTGTAAAGCTATTCGATTTCAATAATTTAGAAGCGTGTTCCTTCTCTCCAAAGTGTGCCTTTAATTTGACTAAACCACTAAATCATATACCTACCTCTCATCTATATATATATATATAAATCTGTCATTTTATTGGAACACGAAAAATAGTATACAAAAATCTGTATTAGTTACGTAATAATGTATACCTAAGAACTCTATAGTAAGGGTCAGAGCGGTATGATCAAGTGATAAACTTGGTAAAGGACTGTGAACCTTTAGTAATCAGTTTGATTCCTGTTTGGAACAGAGTCATGTCAGGTATTGGCAGTCGGATTTGATTGCATAGTTCTTACTTCTTGTAAAGCAAGTTGTAAATTGTCTCCTCTGAGCTAAAATTTGGTATATAAGTTTATTCGACGGGTCTGTTTATCTTTGGAATTAGTCGGCTAGGTTACTTCCATTGAAATTGGGTCAGGTTCTAGTCATGTATCCTCTGTCCGATGCTGACCTGGATTACTTAGATTAAGTATAAAAATAAATTTCCTTTTACATCTATTAAAGAGAACTATAGTAAGGCAAAACAACACAATTTGAGACAAATACTAAAGAGAGAAACAAATCATTATTTATTTAGGTAGTGGACATTTGGACGGTGAAATGGGTCCACTAATTCAATTACGTGTGTATCCTATAGTCTGAGTAAGTTTGTATGTACAAGTACATCTGAAACCATGAGGTACCTATTTACCTTCATTAATTAAAAACAAAATAGCTCAAATGTTCAAAAACTCAAACATAATATTTCATCCATTTTCGAAAAAAGGAACGTTTATCTTTTTATATACAAATATGTTTGTCTATAATCGTTGAAGAATATGTCATTAAAAACCCTAAATGATCGATTTTTTTCTAATGGGGTTTCAAATTAAAAATGAGAACGAATTTACAAGAAGCCCATTAATACAGTCAAAAATAACTCACATTAGGACAAGAACCAATACGAATCAGGATTTAACCAGAATTATCTCAAAGGAGGGAATCAATTGGTTGAACACTTACTATCGGACTGGCTAATTTAGATAACATCGAAAGAATTGAAAGAGTGGAAGGATAAACGAAGAGATTAACTCTAATCTCCGAAGATGTTGATGCAGTCTACGGCGAGAACTGAGATTGAAGAAGACACCGAGAGCATGAAACATGTAATACTAAATAAGCTGCCAAAAGAATTTATATTTACTTTTATTTTATTGTAGTCTATATTCGTTTTCTGATGACATATGAAAAATGTTGATGAAGATAATGGAATTATGAAATTGTTTGATTCTCTGTGATTATCTTAGTCTCTTAGACGATATTCTGAGTTAATAAAAATGTGTAACAAAACCTCTTTTCATGTGGAGAGATTGGACATAAGACATATGTAAACGTAAGCCGACAATCTCTGTGAAAAGATAAAAAGTGATAATGCGAACAAAGCATTCACGTAAATATTGGCTTTTCATGTTTTTGCCTTTTCATATGATCCAAAACCAAAAAAAGTTTTGTGTCATGCATGTTTTTTTTAATCATGTATATTGCTCTACTAAACGTTGAATTAAATATAAAAAAGTATATAAGTAAATACAGTACTTTGGTTTTAGTTGTATCTATAATACTTTTAACATTAGTTCTGAATTTTAACATACATATGAAAGTTTGATTAGTAGAGATCATTTTTTAAATACTATAACTCATGAATGAAAAGAAAATAATTTAAAACTACAGTATAATGTTTCTGTAGAAAAAGAAAAATCAAAGAAATCAAAATTTAGAATACAAGGCGTAAGGGGTTTTGTAATTTCTCAAAGAAAATAGTTTGTCTATTGTTTTTTCTTTTTCTTAAATCAGTACTTTTTAGTTAAACCCAATTTATATGTTTATATAAAACTAAAACAAAATTAAGAAAAAGTTGGTTGTAACTTTTAGATGTCATAAAATTTAACTATTATTATCTATTGCCAATCGGCCCCATTAATTGTAGTTAATTAGTCAAATTATTATAAACATAATTAAGCAATAATCCCCATGATTTAAAGTAAGAAGTTATATTATGAAATCAAGAGATTGAACTACATTCAATCTTACTAAGACTGATGTGATACTCTAAAGATGAAATTCTTAATGATAGCTTGCTATTTTCACCAATTTGCCAGAGCCAACCCGAGCTGGATATACACTTTACCTACTTTTCTATATGTAATAATCTATAGTTGATTTTATTCATGATGTTTGGTTGTGGTTGACATATGAATCGTATCGTTTCTCGGAAGTTTTTAAAACGAGATGCAATATAAATTAAACATATAAGGAACTGTAATATCTATAAACACCAAATAAATGAGATTCTAATACTTCGTGAAATAGTACAATGACAAAATCATTATGCAATACTATAATTTTATAGTTTATATATTTATTTATGATTTTGAAACACAGTTTCGCAGTGACAAAGGACTATTGTGCAAACTAAATTAGCTTTTTCTTTTCAGAATGATTGTAAAGTAGATAATATCTGTGGTAACTTGTATAGCTAGTTACAATTGTTATTAGTCAGCAAATTGATAAAAAAATTATCGTGCTATAAAAATCTCAAATTTTAAGTTCAAGAAGTTCAAGTGGATATACGAACCTTGTTTTGGTTCCCTATAAAAATAATGTCTTTAGTAACAATTCCATAATAAAGAAGTAGGCAATTAGTTCTTATATTAAAAAATAAAACTAAAGATGATGTCGAAAATGATTTTTGGAAATTTTCTTTCTCAAGGTACCACGCTATGAATAACTTTTTTTTTTACAGACTAGGTTCAAAGTAATGTGATATCATAATCACAATCAGTACGCAAAACTATCATGGATAGAGGTATATAAATTATAAAAAGTTTAGCAGCAATGACTATGTAGAGCATCTTAAGAAAATGCTATAAAAATACCGGAGCATGATTGGGTTTTAATCATTGCTCTATGCATGCTTGTTCTTAGGTCCTCACGCCCTACATCATTATATTCAAGTATATATTTTCTTGGTAGAAGCATATATATTTTCGTGATGACAAAAAGAAAGCATATATATTTAGAGAGCATTATATTTCATTTTATATAAATAGTAGAAAAATAAGAAAAGGAACGCAAATGCTTCAACGTTTTTTAGCTTCCCCACAAATGCTACATTTCAGCTAGTTCTACGATTTAAAAAAAAAATATTAGATCGATTATATGTAAAACAGAAAAAGTGAGTAAGCAGGCCACTGGAGAACTGTTTTAGGGTGAGTAATTTGGTTGATGTGATTAGAATTTTTTTCTTACATTATTAATTCAATTGATTGTGAAAGAAATGAAAAAGTACCAAAAATACTTAAAAATGAATTAAAAAAAAGTTGGAAGTGTCAAGTGGCCGTGGGACTTCACTTGGACTGACGCACGCGCACCATTCGCTTGCTTCCAAACAAACCGATTGGATATTACATTAACAAACGGGCCCCACTCTTGTTTAATACGACACGTGGACCCATTTCCTGCTCCTTCCTTCCTCCACTGCCTTCTATATTTTTGATTAATAAGTTTATGATAGGTATATTTACTACTATTTAGGGTTTATTTAGGCATTATTAGGCGATTCTTTAGAATTTCTATGATCAAAACAACAAGAGGTTTTCGATCTTATTTTTCAAATTAGATGATTTACAATTGTAGTTTCAGTTATAAAAGCTGTAAACCCTTTAAATGTTATAACAAGCGCTTGATGAATCTCACAACTGAAGAGTACTTCTTTAAACTCAAAATTAAAAGGTTAACGCATGTCAAACTTTACCTTGTTTTTTTTTATCCCCCAATATTTAAACCGTGGTGATCTTGTGGTTTTGGAATAAAATGCACAAATAACCACGATATTAATTAAATCATTATATAAACAGGCTCGATCTTCTCGCTTTAAAGAATTTTTGCGCTAGACCCAAGAAAGTGATATAAAGCATATTCAGTATATAGTTATATACTACTACTATTATAGTAAAATATATAAAAATAAAATAAAGAATGAAGAAAAGTCTCCACTTTCTCCATATATACCACTCCACAAGTCTACATATATGCCATCAAACTTCCTCTTATTCTTCACCCAAAACAAACTCAATATTCTCTTCTTTAATTTCACTCTCAACTCTCAAAAAGCTTAAGTAAACAAAAAAAGAGAAATAAACATGAGAACGATGGTTGATCTAGGAAAGCAAAGAGATCATCATCATCATCATCATCATCATCATCACATGCAAATCATAACCACTCCGACCACCGTCGATTGCGCTCGTGAATTCCGTCTCCGACGAACTCTCCGTTCACTCATAGAATGCATGCTCCCATACTGTTGCACTTACCAACAACCAACAACTTCATACCAAAACGATACCGTTTCAGTCTCTTCCACCACTTCCTCATCTTCCTCCTCAGACCACTCCTCCTCTCATAGTAACAGCATCGTAAGCGGAACCTTCTTCGGGCACCGTCGTGGCCGAGTAAGTTTCTGCCTTCAAGACGCCACCGTGGGATCTCCGCCGCTTCTCCTACTCGAGCTAGCTGTTCCCACGGCGGCTTTGGCCAAGGAAATGGACCAGGCAGGTGTTCTACGCATAGCCCTCGAGTGTGACCGTCGTCGGAGCAGTAGCAACAGTCGTTCTTCGTCGATCTTTGATGTTCCGGTGTGGTCGATGTATTGCAACGGAAGGAAAATGGGATTCGCCGTGAGGAGAAAGGTGACGGAGAACGACGCCGTTTTCTTGAGGATGATGCAGTCTGTCTCAGTCGGAGCTGGAGTTGTGCCGTTGGATGAGGAGGAGCAGACTCTTTATTTGAGGGCCAGGTTCGAGCGAGTCACTGGCTCTAGTGACTCGGAATCTTTTCATATGATGAATCCGGGTGGTAGTTATGGACAAGAGCTTAGTATATTTCTCTTGAGATCGTGAAAGTATGGTGTGGTTATACTATTTTAATAAGATTCTTGTCATTTTTCGTGTTTTTTTTTTGGGGGTTCATGTACATTGTAAAGTAAAACTACCAAAAGAGTAATATGTATATGCAATTTATCGTTGTTTTTTTTTTCTTTCTCTAAAATGGGTTTTTGAGAGATAATATTTGGGTTCGCCCTCAAACGTCCCAGTGATCTCCTAATCTATTCCTTAAATCATCTCGCTAAGCTTCTTCAAATCTCTTCAAAACCATTAAACGCAGGTATATACTTACGAAATATCGGGTACAAATGTGTTTTCGTTCTTTTGATTAAGGTGTTAATTGATTCGTACTAACTATACCATATTGCAAATTTCTTTCATATAAACCTTTTGGAGATATAGCTACCCAACAACTTAATTTAATTTGATGTTGGCGATCTTAAATTTGTACGAGCATAGAAATAATCTAAGCTGCAAATAAGATAACGATGGTAACATTATAAGATATGACAAAAACTTTTATCATTATAATAAGATATAGAGTATATTTTGGTTCGTAGATAAGATTGAAAGGGAGTGAGGGTAAGCGTTCTTTGACTCTATTAATTCCTAGCTACCATTTACGATATGGTTCGATGGCTAGCATATTTACTTCGTAAATTGAAAGACCAAATTTCAAGTCTTCTCAAAACACTCACTCTTTCCACCAGGAAAGTTTCAAAAATTATTTTGAGATTCTGTCAAAATATTATTTAAAAAATACAAATTGAAAAGAAGAAGAGAGTTATGAATTTTTGTTTTGAAAAGAAATTGATAGAATTTTTTTTTCTTTTTTTTTAATCTAAGCATACCGTCATATTCAGTGTAACAAAGACTAAAACGAATATTTTCTACCGAGATGGTTGAACTAATTGCGTTTGGCTAAAGTTTATATATCATTACGAATATGCATAATTCATTGAAAATTCCACCCACACCACAGGCATGTCAGTTGCACGTACTGTGAATCGTGAACTTCCATGCTAAAGCAATATGCGATTGAGACCAGACAGAGAACCACAAGATTGAGGATCTTGGTTTTAGCTTCGGTGTCTGGCTCGGTTCCAAATCAGTGCCATTGTAGGACCTCTTTTCTCTTTTGCTTTTTTTTTCCTTGTCTCTTTGATCGCTCCGAGCTTCATTTCAACGTCACTCAACTCATTCCTTTTTGTTATTATGTTTTTTCTTTTAAGTTTTAAAACAAGTTAATCCCCTTTTTGTTATTTGAATCTCTGATTTGATACAAGAATTTAAGACTTGGTTAGAATAACAAAAACCATATAATATACACGCACGCTCTAGTCTGATTTAATATTGCGTTGTGTTGCTCAGAGAAGATAGACAAGGACTTTCAGTTATTATGTACAGTACAACAAACACAGAAAACCAGTATTCAATCATACTGGTATTATTCCCCAACGTACGGAAAACCAATTAAGAAAAAAAAAAGAATTTCACATAATTAATACTTAGGAAGAGAAAAAATCAATAGAGCACTCTTGTTCAATATGACAATATCTTGACATACATTCATCATATTCATACCAATACACTGATTAAAATATATAGACATTAATTATCAAGGAACAAAAATAAAAATAAATTATAATAATTATATAAAAGTCCACGTACCAGAAAATGACAGAGGCATGCAAAATCATGATATCCAGCGAGGTATGTGACTATGTGAGACACTGAGACTCTTATTGATGTGTTCTTTTGTCCCCTTTTTGTGTGAGATAGTACTGTTTGTTTGATTTTTCTTGTTCTCCATTATAGATTCTCCAAATCTTTAAGATTTCATTTTTGTAATATGTATGATTAAAATTATGAGAAAAGAAGAGAATAACTAAAAAACTAGGATATATGAGACAGGTATAGAGAAATGGGAGATGCACACGAGGGTACAATATAAACCCTAACGTCTTTTTTTTTTTTTTTTCTTTGTTGATGATAAGACAGCAAACATAGTTGGCTCCACAACCCATCTCCTTTAGTCTAATTTCACGTGTATTCTCGTCCCCATGGTCACATACTTCCATTTTCTCATTATTAATCAAAATATTATGATACATATATACTTTTTTTTCGAAGGGTTTTCATGCACATATATATATATATATATATATATATATGTGTGTGTGATCTGAAATCCTGAAATAGGGACACAGTCAAGTATCAATTAGTAAGAAGTTGCACATTTTGGTATTTTTAATCACATGGGGGAATTATTCTGAATAGAATGTCACATTTATCTTAAATTCTCATTGCCCTATACAGTTATTAAGTGATAAAAAGTAAAGTTATCTATTTATAGATATTAGAAGGTTTATAGCCGGGTACGATCAAGTCACTCTTACTTTGTTTCTGTCACTGTGAACATCGTACATATTAATTTACCGAAGATATAAAGAATGTGATAAATATTTAAAGAACATTATGTAATCATTAACACATCATCTTTGATTCGAACAAAGTCATATCAATGCATTTGCTTTGTTTTTTTGTTAAAGGGATATAATTGGCTAATTGCTTTGTTATTTTTATATCACGATATTGATAGAGATACGAAAAAGGAATAATCTAAAAAATTCTGAATTGTTGACGGAGAAAGGCAGTGTTTGGTCCAGCATGGCTACCATTTTGCTTTTCATTTGTCAGATTTGCGGGCTCTAAATCTTTGAAGTATATAAATCTTATACATAAAATCACGCATTTGCATCTTATAGTCAAAGACTCAAAGGAAAAGAGAGTAATTAAAGTAAAGAATATGATAATATATTGAAATTAAAACGAAAAAAATATATAATCCGGTTTATGTTAGTGTAGCTTAGTATCTTTGGTAAGAGACAGATATTACACCTTAAGTAACAAAACGTTTAAAAAGTAGAAAATTGACGTATCACGTATGACGCGAGAGAAAGCCCATTTCTACAATGGGCCCAACTTTTTTTTTTTTTCCGCGAAGAAAGGAAACATTTCCGATGACTATTTTGAATTTTTGACTATAATTTTTTTTTATATAGGCTTGTTGATAATGAATACTAATAATTTTTCTTCCGACTTAAAAGGAAAAGGTATTGTAGCTGATTCAGTTTTATTGCTGAAGGAATAATTATATTGGCTTCCCTAGCATCTTTCGGTTTTGTACAAAAATATTTGCAATTTTATAACTTCGATTTCCTTTGTATAATGTTTAGCAAAATAGTTTTACGTATTAGTATTTTCTTGACTGTTTGTAAAATCAGATTCAAGATACAAGAGAATAATGATACCCAATCTCGATGAAATTGCATAGGAAGCGCTGCACTTATCATAAAGTGAGTGGAAATGCCGCATTTTGTTCACATCGATATTAATTGTATAAGAGTGGTGCCAAAACTAGAGGCATTTATTGGACTGACCCAACGGACCACGTCGAAAATGAAACTCGATTTGGAAGGTTGTGTGATTTGTAAACTAAATACTTGCCTCATTCTCACCAATCTATTTATATTCATTTATTTGTTCTTATCCAACTTCTATCTGTCTTTATACAAACTACCCAAAAATGAAACATAGACAGTAGTCCCACTTTCACCATCTTGATGTAGAATTTTTTTCTGGTTAGATTCTGTACGATTTTACTACTATTCTTTCTTGTTCACTTTTCTTTTTGTTTACAAGAGTGTACATGTTCTTCTCTAAGATTAAATCTCCATATAACAATGGTAATTAAATCTCAATTCAAGAACATTGTTTTTGTAAAAACATTTGAGTCTCATTTGCGACCACAAAATATTCGGGAGTAATATTTTATGTCACGTTGTCAACTCTTTTATGGATCTTGTTAAATTGTCCCCACTTACTTAGTTGTTATGAGATTGACGGCATTAACTCCCTGTTTTATTTTTATTTTTAATCTATTTCAAGGAGTTATATAAAGTGAGTGAGTGAAAATGAAACACACTATTATAAATTTCTGTATAAATATGCTCTCATATTTTTATGTTTTCAATAATTGATGCATTATTTTTGAGTTGTGTAGCACAGAGCACTGAACAAGCGAGTGTACTACAACATAAGATAACCAGACTAGGAATTATTAATGCCTTAGTTAATTAAAAAAATTAACATTAAAATACTTAATTATTTAAATCTTGATTCATTTATGTAGAATACTTTGGAAACCCTCGTCTGAACTCCCGGGAAAAATGTCGGTTTAACTTTCCTGATTTTCTCGCTTATTCTCCCGGAAAGTTATGAGAAAAAAACAATCTTTTTATTTTTTATTAATCGTGTTTTTGGAGTCATATAAACGTAATAAACGACAAGCTAAAAGGATGGAGCTTTTCGAGATATGCTCTTGACGTCTCAAACAAAGATACTGATGGGATGCCCAATTTTATTATTCCTTCATAATATTCTTTGATGAATTTCTACAGAAAGACAAACAAAGCGCGAGAAAGTGCGAGAAAATGATGGGTCTTAGTTGGCCTTCAGCTTCTTCTCCTTCTTCTCCTGATTGTTCTTCTTCTTCTCCAAGGTTAAAAGAAATTACATTTGTCTCTTTCTGCAATTAGATTTGCCTGGTTTCGTCTTTAATTGAATGAAACCAGTTTGGGGAAAGGAAAAAATTCTAAAATGGGTTTGGCTGTAGGAACTCGGAGAAGCAGAATGTGATTGTTGCATCACCCTCAAGATTCTCTAGCTACAGTAAACCGGTAATTTCATTCTCTTTACAGAAGCGAGAAACTTTTGGGGATTGTCTCAATCCTACTTTAAGACTCTGTCTCTTTCTCTCTTTTTTTTTGTTTTCTGGGTTCCAAAAGTCACACTTGTCTGTACATCTTCATGGCAGTTTGTATCGATTGAGAAGAGATTACTTACTCATAAGGATTCTCATTGCAACGCAATGCCAAAGGTTTGATATTTATAGCTTTGAGTGTTCATAGATTCTTTAACAAAAGGTTCTTAATGTTCTGTATTGTTTTTTGCAGTCTTCAGAAGATTTGAGGAAGGAAATTGCTTCACTCGAGTATGAAATTCTGCGCACGGAACAATATCTGCTCTCTCTGTACAGGACAGCTTTCGATGAACAAGTTACTTCTTTCTCTCCTCACACTGAAACAAGCTTACTGTCTTCGAATCAGTTTTGTCCCAAATCCGAGCGATCAGACCTTACCGGTGTGCTCAGCTACCATTACCAAGCTTCTCCGGTGTCTGAACGTTCCTCTTCGTGTCCTCGGAGTTTCCAAGCCAGCTTAAAAGCTTTGTCTGCAAGAGTAAGTTGACACCATGGCATTGTCTTTGCTTTCTTAAAAAGCTTTTCAGTTGCTAACCAATTTTGTTGTTTGCAGGAGACTAGACATGTTTATAGTAATCACACTACTCTTGCAGATCTTCTGGGTTCTTCTCATATCGTCGATAACATTGTGAACCCGAGTAGTCTCTCTGAAGAAATCTTAAGATGCATATCTTATGTGTATTGTACACTCTCCAGCAAAACAAGAACCACTTCTTGTCTTCAGGCTTCTTCTTCACCTTCACCTGTCTCTTATAAAACCACTTTTGATTTCTGGAACCCGTGCCTCGAGGCAAGCAAAGGAGCAAATGTTCCACGTGGTGTTGTAATAGAGTCTCTGAAACTTCACCTGGATGATGGTAGTTTCAATCACGCCGCTCTTATGCTCCAAAACTTCAGGTACATAATTCATATTTGCCTATGTGACGTTAGAATGACTTGGGGTTGATCTGAAATGTTTACTCAAATTGTGTGTATATACAGATCACTAGTTCAAAAGCTCGAGAAGGTTGATCCAAGCAGAATGAAACGCGAAGAGAAGCTCGCGTTTTGGATAAACATTCACAATGCCCTCACAATGCATGTAAGCAAACAACAAGTAGTCTCTTTTGGGCTCTGTCTTTTTGAATAAAGCTTCAATCTTTTCGTTGTTTCTCCCTCTCTCCCTCTCTCTTACAGGCCTATTTAGCTTATGGAACTCACAACCGCGCAAGAACCACCTCGGTTTTAAAGGTTTCGTCTTTAAATCTCTTTGACTGATAGATTTATGTCTATGCTGTTTACTTAAGCCACTCTATATATGTCTTTCAGGCAGCTTATGATGTTGGAGGCTATCGTGTAAATCCTCACATTATTCAAAGCTCAATCTTAGGCATTCGTCCGCATTTCTCACCACCTGTAAACAACACACACACTCTCTCTCTTTCTTTGCTTCACTTTTACCACATTTCATAACTTGTAAATGACATTACTGTAAACAGTTGTTGCAGACGCTGTTTTCACCATCAAGAAAGTTGAAAACTTGTGTTGTCAAACACATATACGCCTTGGACTACCCTGAGGCGTTGGCTCATTTCGCTCTTTCTTCAGGAGCTTCCACAGATCCTCCGGTATTTTTGTTTTTACAAAATCTCGGAATGTATTCTGTAACTAAAGTCTTGGATTTTAATCTTTCAGAGGTATATATAATGTATCTCAGGTTCGGGTTTACACAGCGGATTGCGTATTCCGGGATCTCAGACGAGCCAAAGAAGAGTTTATAAGAGACAACGTTCGTATACAGAATGAGACAAAGATATTGTTGCCCAAGATCGTTCACTACTATGCTAAAGATATGTCATTGGACGCATCTACGCTCATGGAGACGACGGTCAAGTGTTTACCTGACTCCACGAAGAGAATTGCTCAGAAGTTATTGAAGAAGAAGAGCAAGAAAATCGAATTTTCACCGGAAAACTCAAGTTTCCGGTATGTAATCATTGAGGAATCAACAAGACATGATTCTCTATAATGTAAAGCGAAATGTACATTAAAAAAAACATCTCGTAGTTTTTCTATTTTTAACAAACGAGAGATGAAAACTTCACGCCGTTTTCTGGAAATCGATATAGCGACACAAAAAAATTCTAAGGCCCAGAAGCAAAGTGAAAAGAAAAAAAAAAATGAATGGCGATGATGGTGAAAGTGAAAGGCCCTTTTGGGAGATTTCGGTTTGGGATTGGAGGAGGAATTTTGTCGGCCATTGTTGTTTATGTTATTGGGCTTAGAGGAGGAACACCAAAAGTAGCTATGCAGAGCTCGACGATCTTCTTCTCTGGTGTTGTTCCTTCTCCTCTTCGTGTTAGATCGGTCTTCACTCCAGCGAATCCAGCCACCGATCGAGCTTCCATGGCGACTTCCTCTGGTCCTAAGTGGGCTCAGAAAACCATCACGCTTCCACCGCAACGCCGTGGATGTCATCTTATCACTCCAAAGGTTTCTTCGATTGATTTTTTTTCGATTCGAAGCGATTCTGATTTGAATCAGTTGTGTTCTTAAGCTTGTGAGGGTATTTTTGTTTTGAAACAGATTTTGAAGGAGATTGGGCAAGACTTGTCAGATTTCAATTGTGGCCTTGCTCATGTCTTCTGTGAGTTTTCTTTCTCTCTGTAATATCTCTCAGCTTCTGCTCTCTCTCTCGATTAAAACGAATGGGTTGTTTTACTTTTGGCAGTGCAACACACAAGTGCTTCTCTCACGATCAATGAGAATTATGATCCAGATGTTCAGGCTGATACTGAGACTTTCTTGAACAGGATTGTTCCTGAGGTATATATATACTATATGGCTTGCTTCTCAATATACTTGTTTGGTGTATATTTGATCACTATTTTTGTTGTTGAATTTCAGGGGAATTCAGCTCCTTGGAGGCATACCATGGAAGTTAGTTCACAATTACCATTTTTGTTGGTTTCCCTCAACTGAAATCTATTTACAAAAACCAGTGATAAATCAAAAGCTGTTCCCCTTTATACTCTGAAATGTGATGGTTTTTGGTAATTTCTCTCTGGTTTTCATGAAATCTTATGTAGTATTGAGAATTGAATTGTGTAAATAATTGCAGGTCCAGATGACATGCCAGCTCATATCAAATCATCAATGTTTGGATGTCAACTCACGTGAGCCTCAATCTTATTGTAACCCTATTTGTTGTTAGATTGTGGATTTTCACTTGATAAGTGTTTATTGTTCCTGCAGAATCCCAATAACAAAAGGCAAACTCAACATGGGAACTTGGCAGGTAATAAATTTCTCCATCTGACTCTACATTACTACATTCACATGATTTCATGTTTCCTCATTTATAAATGCGTCTTCTTTGGATTGATTGCAAATGAATCTTATTTCTTACACTACTACCACTATTTACAATTCATTGCTGATCTCGTTTGCATCGAGTTACCTTATTATATAAAGCTTTTGTGTTGGAAATTTGGGATTTCAGGGAATATGGCTATGTGAGCACCGTGATGCTCCAACCGCACGCAGGGTTGTGGTCACTCTCAATGGAATCTAGGGATGTCTCTTCATGTTTAAAATGGCTTGTAACCTCCTAGACTTTACGGTCTTGTATTGAAAATTACTTTTTTTCTACGAGACAATGCGGCGACTAATGTGCACACTGTCGTGTTCATTGCAGCAGAAATTCCATAATTACAGCAAATCTAACAAGAAGTTTTTAAAGAGCAAAAAACAACGTTCGGGAACAAACACCCATAAAATCTCTAACTTTATACAAAAAGATATAAAAACAAACATTTGTCAAAGATGATTCTTTTTCAAACATCTTTTCAAAAGCCCCCAAATATGCGAATATTTGGTGTTATCATAGTACCCATAAAAACCAATTGAAACTGATCTAAATTGCGTCATCATACGGTGAGAGTACAAGAAAAAACAGAGAAATGAAAATGTTATGCAAAGATGCAGAAGAATCATATTTCTATAGAAAAAATGAATGTGCTCTGCAGAGGAGGAGAGCTCATCAAACAGAGGCTAAAAAGGTTCTTTGAGACAAAGAATATAAAAAGGCAAAAGAAAAGAAGAAAAGAACAAGGGTACATGATGAGAAAATGAGTAATTAAAAAAAAAAAAAAAAACCCTTCGTCTTCAAGAGATTTATTTATGCTTTATTATCTCCAAGCTCCATGTCTTTCAAATTCATATGTTCTATTCCTTCTTTGAGAAGTCTAATCTCATCTTCTGTCATACTGTTCTTACCGTGCGGTGTCACTTTCGACTTTCTCTGTTTCTCCAACTCGACCGCCCAGCTGTAAATCACCATTCCCACCACGGCTAAGATCATCCCTGCTACGTTCTTGAACGTCATCTCGGAGTCAAAGAGAAGCCATCCTAATGTTAAGACACACACTGTCTTCATGTGACCAAGAACTTGGAATGAGGTAGCAGAGAATCTTCCAATGCAGAGATATTGGCTTATGTTACAGAAAACCGCCAATGCGCAGGAGAGAAGAATGCATAACTGTGTGTGTGGGATAGTTACTAATTGTTAGATAAGAGTTGGAACGAAGCAATGTTTGGGATTTATAAACGGGATTACGAGAATCTTGGCTACTTACAATGGCACCATAAGACATTTTGTAAGTAGAAATGAATTTGCCGCTCAAGAAATAATCAACAAATGGACCAAAGATGAGGAGTGAAATGGCTTGGATTGGAGCTGTCTTGCTCAGCAACTCAAAAGATCCGACTGAGTATTTCTTCTGCAGTGAACCTATTGACTATTTCCAGAGAGAAACTTAATCAGAAAAACACTTGAGCATCATCATCAAGAAAGAAAATTTTCAAGCTAATACTTTGTATAAGATGTTGAAGCACCAAACAATTAGCAACTTATGATTTCAGAATTTAGAAAGTAGTGTTAAATCTAGGTCAGCTACTCTACTCAAAAGCTACAAGATCCACAAAGACTAGAAAAGATTATAAGGCTAGAGTCACAGCCAGTTTACCACTCATTTGGGAAAAATTTTGAGACTTGGTAGAGAATCAGTCTGCACAAAATCAGAGATCGAGCAATATATTAAACAAGTCGAGTGATGGAGATAGCACTTACGATCTGCTGCAGAGATGTAGAGAAAACGGCAGTGCAAGCACAAACGAAACCTTTGGCATTAACCTTGACATCAGTCACAGTACAAATCCCAACTCCTACAACCACAACCATGACAGATGCTTTCACTTCTCTCGAGTAATGTTTGCTATGGAGAACCCATTCCATCACGCACACAACAGGAATCATGCTCAATTTCGAAATCTAGGTGGAATCAAACAAATGATGGGCAATAAGGAGAACGATCTTGAATTGGCAATGCAAAAAAATCAACAATCAAAGGAAGTTTTTCTTTTTTTACCTGGTAGAAGCCAACAGAGTTCAACATGAGGCTGAAATTCATAGCTGCGATTGAGATGTTAGCGACGATTGAGAACCAAAGAAGCTCCCAGAGAGGAACATGCTTGGAAGCCGATAAACCAGTCGCGTTCGATACCAGACCAACGAGAGCAGTGAAAGCGAAGTGGAATCCCGTCAGAGTTGTCGCTGAAGAAAGAAAAATCCATTTCTAATTGATTAGAGATCTTAACTCTCTCAATCACACTCCAATTGTTACAATGAGAGATCCATGAAATGTGAAAAAAAAAAAAAAGTTAATAGGAGATACAGATAAGAGAAATCAAACCGAAGCTGAAGCCGAAACCAGACGATGACATGAGCTGTTTATTGGCCATGATGATCCCGACGGAGCTCGTAACATTCATTGCCCATGCACCGACGTCAGATACGGCCGATGCCTTCTTCTCGCTATCTGCCTTCTCCATCTCCGACTAATTTGGATTTAAATCTTACGAAAACTGAAAATTCGAGATCAGAGCAAAATGGTTCCACCACTATCAGATCCTGGACCCGCCACGGACGAGAGTTTTGTTATCTAACCACGATCGGAGATCTGTATCTCGATATATCTGAAAATGGTGTAATCCAAAATCGGAGGAAGATGATGAGATCTGGAGGAAACTCGATTCACGCCGTTCGGCTTCTTCCCCGAAGAAAAGCCAGAAAGCGCAAAAACACACACGAACACGTTTCTCTATAATCTTCTTCGTCCAGTGGCTTCACTCGTGGTGATGTCTGGCTATAACAAGTAAGCATCCGCCATTGATGCTTTCCTTGACGCTTTGGATTTAATTTATTTATAAATAATACATTATTCTCCTCTCTTAAAATTTTGTTAATATAATGAATTTGACGCCTGTCGTTTACCGTATTTGACCTCATGCTTCCGTTTTTGGAACACTTGTTATTAATGACCCCAATGCGTTTCATTTAAGGGTACTCTTGGTAATATTCATCTCCCTCATTATGTCATGTAATTCTTTAATTTTAAAAATTCTAACGTCTTAGATAAAAAAAAAAATGAAAAAATTCTAACGTCTGAACTTTTTGTTTGTTTGTTGTTTTTGTCAACAATTCTAACGTCTGAACTAAACTTGCTGAATCGTTTAATGGTAACTAAATCTCGATGACAAATGTTGCTCAAAGCAGTTTATAATTTAATTACTTCATATCTAGAGCTGATCTTGTTCCTTAAAAGGTCTTTACGTTGCAGGTTTTATTAAATTTAAGTTTAAATATGTAACAGTTTTTTTGCTTCTTTTTCAACTGTCAAAATAGTAGTAACTGATAAGTATTTCTCCAAAAAGCAACATTGTAAAGACAGCTAATTTACAAATCTGCTTTATATGTCTTTTTCTCTAAGGCTTCTTCATATAGTAATAAGAATAAGAATCACATCACATGATCTCCAAATATCATAAATAAAATAAAACAATTATACATTGTCAAAGATGAGATTTCATGTGATTTTCAAGGATCCAATAATTTCTTCTACTAACAATAATAATAAAATAAAAATACATAATGGTAACCACATACTTCAAACATATCAAATATGCATAAATGCTTATATTTATAATATTATATAGTACAAAAGGGAAACTACCTCTCACATTCTTTTATCAGAATCCATCCTTTTGCCAGTTTAAGAGTGTCTCTGTGCTCCTGGAGGCGGTGCAGGCCTTGGGAAGTAATAGTTGAATTGCTCATCTCCAAGCTTCGGTGCTTCCACATAAGGGCTTTGCGGTTCCTACATATATTTGCATTTCATGAGTCCTTGGGTGGCAATTCCAATGGTATCCAATAATTTAAAGCAGTAACTGTAAGATATGAGCGAGCTAGTGTGTTCTGGCTAATACTCAACACCAAAAAAAAAAAAAAATCTTATGTCATGATCTTTCATAAGTCATAAATAAACGACTCTCTATCAATTTACTCATCAGTTATCTCATTTAATGTTACCGTAAATCATTCCTAAATCTCTATCGCATAATAACATGGAGCTCTATATTACAGTGTGTGAAACAAGGTCCTTTATAGTGAAAGGTTAATGAACGGGTAAATATTAAACAAGTTTATGTTCCTTCGGTTTTGAATGATTTATATTATACTAGTAAGATGCACATAGCGTTTTTGGTAAATGGAATGGATAACTGAAGAAGGAGATGTACCTGAGGCCCAAATGTGGAGTGAGATGCTTCATCGGATTTTGGTGATGTGGATGCATAATCACGGTCTTGACCATTTCCATTTAGTTTGTGAAGTTCGGCTCTTACTAATGGATCACTCTCACTGGCTATCTTGTTCTTCTATACGACCAGAAAGTTAAAGCCCTTTTAATTAATCCTTCCTTGTTATTTCTCTAGTGAATATTTTGAACAAATATGCTCTATATTCTCCCACGAAAAGAAATTAAAACACATTTACCTGGAAGATCTTCCCCAGAGTTTTTAACCCCTTGGCCCTTGCACGAAGCTCCTCTCTCTTGACGGTGGGATCTTGAAGAACCTGAGACAGGACAAAAAAACATAAAGTAGTTACAACATAGAAATTGGACCAAGATGCTACGTCAGCCAAATAGAGAACAGTTATAGCTCGACATACCAGCTCACAAACACGGGAGAGAGTGCTTTCGATATCAGCAACATTCAGTTTCCACAGAGAATCAATCATCACTTTCTTATGGGTCTTCATGTACTCTTCAAGTTCCTTCTCAGTATAATTGCCTTCAGCACTTAGCTGCCTTTTCATTTCCTCTTGCAGCTGAAATAAAGCATATGCGCCTAGGACGATAGAAAAGAGCCAGCCAAAAAAATTCACTAAGTGTTTCTCCCAAGAGATGAGTCCAAGTTCTAGAAAGCAAGGTATTCTTGGGGTTTGTATGACTTAAATATTTCATATGTAACCCATACTACAAATTCTAGCTCCTGATATGAGATGAGATTGCCTTTCTTCCTAAGTCACTGACCTGTTGCAGCTGTTACTTGGGATTTGATGAAGTGACCTTTCGTCCTAAACCATTCAGCAACGAATGGTACACCGAGATATATAGCTTTCTTTCCAAGCTCTTTTGCCGCTTGTCTTACATAAATATATCCAATTGTGTTCAACATTTCCACACCGTATGCTGTTGAAGATAGATACAGAAGGAAGTAAGTCTACCTTTATAGCACAGATATGTCATTGATTGAAAGAAAAAGAATAAAATATGAAAGGGGGACAATATGCTTCAGAACATGTTACCTGCATTTGAGAGTCTTGTTACTTCAGCTTCAGCATTGCTAATAAATTCATCTTTGTTCGTTACATATAGGTTGAGGCGATCCTTAAGAATCTGAGCAAGCTTGTCTTCTCTTTCTTTCTGAACAGCCTGAAACCAAAAGCAATATAACATGGTTAGTAATTTATGAAAAGGGTGAATCTGGCAGGATATACTGATAAGAGATAAGTTTACCCTCATTTTTTCTATAATCTTTTTAGTATCAATCTGATCTCCTTCAGAAAGGATATCAAGAGACGCCATTGATGCCATAGCAAGCTGCCCAATGTATTCTTCAAAAAGTTCACTCCCAAAAAGCATAGCAAATATCGCCGCAGGATCAATGATCTCACTGCAAGAATGAAAAGCACAAGTAAGAACTGAGTAAGGACCAAAAAAATTTGGCAACACGGTCAAGATCCATGCCACCAAACCCCAAAAGGTGCAAACAGCATATCACCGATTGGAACTATCACAAGAAAAAACAGGAAAAGACACTAACGTTGAAATCCCAGATTTCCCACAAGTGTCATAGGCCTGACGTTGCCCTGGATCACTTAGCACTTGGTAGGCCTCTCCCAACACCTGTACAAGAATTCACATTTTCAAAAATTTCAATCACGAACGAACAAGACTACCGAAAGCATTGTCATACTATCCTGATATCTCGGAAACCTGATTTTCCTTAAAAACTAACTTCACTGTTAGCCCTGCTAATGTGCTTTTATGAGTATGATAACAACTATGCCAAGCAGAGCAAACACTAAACAGAAAAGGAACATCAACTTCCACTCTTAAGCTGTCTAATCATTGATTAATCCCAAGGTGGTAAAATCCACTTGATTCAGATGCACAAGGGAGCATGGTTAAAGCATATAATACAAAACGCAGACAGCATTCTCTACATTAAATCTGCGAGGTTACCACTCCAATACTTTCCAAAGATCATAGGCCAAGAAGCCATAGACTTAAACCAAAGATAAAGGAGATTTCCTGGATACTAATTCAAACAGTGGTATCAAAGCTCTCTCTCCTACAATAATCATTCAAAATCTGAACTTGCCTGGAAATTATGAGCAGCCTGAGGATCATTGGGGTTTTTATCTGGATGTACTTGGCGTGCCTGTAGAAGACAAACAAGCCAACAATCAACATTTCGTAATTCTACATCGATCAATCAAAACTTTTTTCCATTACAAAATTCCAGAGACACTGAGCTCTGAAGAAATGGACTTCCCCACTTGTCAACAGATTCAACAATCTTTCACATAAAATTTGAGAGTAACAAGAAGCTAATAGTCATCAAAACAGAGAACTACAAAGCCGAAAAATAATCACTCGGGAGACTGATGATCACATCTCGTCGGTACCCAAAACCGACCCGATACTCAGGAACTGCCAAATTCGAATCTAGCTAAAAACTCACCAGATTCCAAAGGAAAAAAAAAACAGAACCCTAGAATCGTAGGTAGAATCAGAGATTAGATTTGAAAACCTTGATGTAGTAAGCTTTCTTAATCTGGGCCTCCGTGGCGGTGGGGCTAACGCCGAGCACATCGTAAAACTCCGTCTCCTTCACCATTATTATCCGATCACGATCTCTAACTTTCGAATCCGAACTCTTCAGATCACAACGGAAGAAAAGCTCAAATCGTCTCTATTGAGTCGCGCAAAACACACCACGCGCGTTACGTTGACGAGTACGCGCCGGCTATTTCAACTCAACCGCTCCTTTTCTTCTTCTACTTTTTTATTTTATTAGATTTTTTTTTTTTTTGGATGTGTTTCCTTTTAATTTGACGTTTATTTGAATAGCCGTACATTTATATTCGCCACGCGTTTTTCCGTCAGCGTCTGCTTGGATTCTGCTTTATTTTCAATCTAATCGTTTAATAAACTTTTTTTTTTAAGTCGGCAATTGTTTAATAAACTTATCTTAGAGATTAAGGAGACCATAAATGGGGAAAAAGATTATGAGCTTCTAATTATCACATTAATTGTTTTGAGTTTATTAACTAGTCCTGTGACATGTCGTCGTTTTGAGTCAAACTGAGAAGATTGATCAAAATTCAAAACAAAATGGCTTACATTTTTACCATAAAAACATTTTAAGATTTCTAAACTCCAAGAGCTTTTCATCTGGTCAGTCACTTCCAGCTTCAAGATTTATGAGTTTTGCATGCCTCCATTGTTTGTTGCTTCATTGAACTGCACGCTTTGTTAATTATTGATGAGCTCATGCGACAGTTCCAGTACTTACATTATATGATGAAATCATAATTAATATTGGAGCAAAAATGGAACCTTTGTGATAATATGATAATATAATACATACACAACATTTAACGGTAATGTGACGTTTTTGTTTGAAGGTAAAGAAAACTCAGATGTTCAAAAAAAAAAAAAGGAAAAGAAAACTCACGCCTTCTATCTGAGAATCATCTTGAGATCTTGTGGTTGCTTAGCTGAGCCACAGGTTTTTCGGTGTTCATGTTTCTGAACGATGATTTCGTATTCATTTTGTGAAATGAAGACTTCCTAGCTTCGTGAAGAAACATAGGATCAAATCTTCACCATTTTCTTAAAAGCACTAAGTTTTTTGATGTGTAGGTACATGCAAAACATCGTGCATGAGTAATTGAAAAATTTCAGATATTGTTGAAGCCGTTGCGTTTGCAAAAGTCATATAGAACTACATGCACCACGAAAGATTAAAGACCCTCCTATGTTCTTACTTCTTAGTATCCGAATTCCGAACATAGAATCATATATACGCTGATTCAGATAACCAGATATTACATGATTCTTGCAATTAAACACCGCTAGGAAAATAAGTAGCTGAATTTGTATTATGTGCTTACATTATTGTTAACACATTTACACATATCTCTCAACCAAAATACACTGGTGTGTTCAATAATCTCTCATCATTTGGTGTGGAAATGAGCGTAGTAAAAGTTAAATGATGACCGTAATAAAGTCACTTTCGCAGCTTATATTTTTCAAATTATGTTTGTACGTATGATCGCATGTTTTGGACATGCATATACTTATCAATCAAACGCGATACGATTCCGCATTCAACAAAACATATTCGAAGAATCCAATTTCACGTTATTTTGAATTCATTTTTATATCTATTTTATTTTGAATCGTAAACTACTAATCTCTTTTCTTTTGGGGGTTAATTAACCAAGTTGATTATTTAAATTTTGAAAAACATGAAGTCCATGAAAAGAAAGGCAAGAGATTTTTGGGGGTTTGGCCGAAGCTCGCGTTTTGTCACGTAGCAGTTGTCGTTTTAGCATATAAAAGCTAAACACAAATACGACGAGACGTGTAAATAAAAGGCTGTGTAGTTCGTATGGTTTCTATACAAAAAGGAAAAGCTGGACGATGCTCGTGCCATTTGTTTATTCCGCTTACACGATTCATTTTCTCGAAACACTGTAAACAATATTATAAAGATGAATATATAAGTATCAAACAAAACATACCAACAAAATCATGCAATGACAAACCTCTTAAGGTTGATTTTGTTATATATATATATATATATATATTTTTGTATTTAAGCAGAGTTGTGGATTTGGTCCAAATGTACAGTACAAAATCCCCAAAATAAAATTATCGAAGGTAAAAATATGTTGTCGGAAGCTACTGATTTGATCAATATGGTTTGATTTATACCGTCGATTTTAACTACTAACAGTAAAAAACCAACTAGATAGTAGATTTTACCAAAACTACATTAGAATTGACTAGTTGCGGGGGAGCGAGGAAATATCGACCATGAGTGTTATATACTAGAATACTTAAGTTTATAATTAAGATAACGATTTTTGTAATAGTATAATTAAGGTGACGATTACAAGCAAGAAATTTGAACAAACAAAAATAATGAATTACATTCACTATTCTCATTATCTTAAGAAAAAGATAAGATTATCATTATCATTGATGACTACTCTGGCCTAAGATATGTGTATAATTGCCTCCAGCCCATAAAGTTGTGTCGAGAGTCCAAAAGTAATTGGTTTTATTTCTATTTTCGTTGGATTAAAGAGAAAAAAAGTTTATCTAACAACAAACGATACAAGATTATCTCTTATATAAAATAAAACCAAATGAAAAGTAGGGAGCAGAAGACACATGTTGGGGTTAAATCACAGGCGTAATGATTTAAGAATAATAATCACCATCATTATCTCGTTATATAATGCATATTTTATTACTTTTTTTTTGTTGGTTCACTTCTTTTCAATTTTTTTTATCAGTAGAGCATTATATATCCCGTGATAAAAATGATGGCATCTCTTTTTTTTTTTTAAAGAAAGAACAATTTGGAAAAGAGATTTGTACCTCTACTATGTAAATTAGCTGTCTGCCAATCTTGTTCTTGAACTAATAAACCATGAGCACAGTGTAAGTTTGGTTCAAACAAGATATTAAGTCAATCTAATCTATTTTTATATTAATTTCGTTAAAGCATACAAGATACTAGCCAAGAGTCTAGTATTACAAATCTAAGGAAAAAAAATAGTTATAGAATTGCATTAGCCAAAATATATTTTAAATGCAAACTTGTACTCATGATTCAAGCTCACATAATTTGGATTATGTAAAAAATACTCATAAGGAATAATAATTCATTTTTAATCCTGTATAGTTATTGGAAAAAAAATTAATAGTAAATAATAAGACACTCCTCAAAATTATCAATCCTCTCCATTTCTTCAACACAGACACACATAAAAGTAAAACAGACAAACACTCACTGCACACCTCTCAAAATACTTCGCTTTCTCTGGTTCTCTCTCTTCACTTTTCTTCTTCTCTTCTCCCTAAGCTCCATAGGCACTAAACCACTCTTTTGACCTACTGTGAGTGAGAGAGAGAGAGAGGGCTGCAAAGATAAAAAGGGAAGACATCATTGAAGCTCTTTTCTCTTTATTTCAGAATCTCATAACCTAGACATCTCTTCATTTCAAGAAAAAAAAATGGTTTGGTCTCGGAAACATTTCTTCTCAATGCTCTTCTTCTTCCTCTTCTGCTTCCTCTCTCTCTTCACTCGTCCTTCTCTCTCCTCCACGTTTCTTGTAGACGGTGTCTCTGTCTGGAAATCTCCCGTTGTTCATATCGGCGACTCCGTTAGTAAGTCTCTGTACAAAAACTGTCCCTTTTTTAAATTCCCTAGTTAATTTGTTAGATTGTTTCTTAACTAATGGTGCTCTTGTGTTTGTTCTTATACCTCCAGTTTTCAGACATAAGTACGGATACGATCTCTACATCTTCAGGACCAAAGATGCATTCAATGTCTGTGACTTTACTCAAGCCACTCTTCTTACAAAGCCTAACTCCACTTCTTTCACGGTATATATCTCATTCCTCACATTCACATTTCTTAATTCGTTACTAAAAATTGTGAAATTTCTGCTGGAAAGGATGCGAATTTTATTGGGTTTTCTCAGGAATTTCAAAAAGTTCTGGTCTTTTACAAGTCCCCCTTTTTCCTCGTGTTCTTGAGATTGACAAAAAAGACTCTCTTCTCTTCCTCTGTTTTCTCTGTTTTTGTCATAAATCATCTTTTCTTCGTTAATTAATAGTTTCAGTGGATTATTAATAGAACTTAAATCCGATGCTTTGTTCTGAAAAGAATTGAAATTTGATTAAACTAATACTTTTTAATACACAAAAAGTCATGTTCATGGTGCAATGATAAATTAATCACAGTTGATTGAGACTTGAGAAGCATCTCGACTATAAATCTTCCATTTACTTTCTTGAAAAATTTCGAATTTTCAAACCTTGATTTGTTAATTTCATTGTAATGATCTACATTTTACCCATTTTCTCACCCTCAATATTTTTATCAATTCAATGACAACCACAGTTCCCCTGTTTTTATGTCTAAACCATGTTTTCGTCATTACCTAACTGTATTACCAAATATTAAACTTGAAATTCGATATTTTTTTTTCTGACAAACAAAAGAATTGAAAAAGTTAGTTACACTAATAGTTTATTAGTACACAAAGTCATCTGCTCAGGGCTCAATGACAATCACAGTCAATAAGAAGCATCTGTACTACATTAAAAACCTTCATTTCATCTTCTTAAAAAATTCAAAATTCCAAACCTAAAGTTGTTTAATTTCACTCTAATAATCTTTTATTTAAACGCAGTGGTACCCATCAAGACCAGGCTCTTACTACTTTTCCTTCACAAACAACACATCTCTTCCCAAAACCTGCCAACCCAACCAGAAGCTCTCAGTCCAAGTCATCCTCGCCGCCGCCGCATCTCCGCCGTCACAACCACCAACACCGGCGATCGCACCTGTTCCAGTCTCGGAAGGAGGAGTGATATCGTCTTCTCCGTCTTACCCATGGCCTTTAGGACCAAGAGAAGGTTCAGCTCTCTCTCCGGGACCTTCTCCGTCGGAGATCACGTCGGTGACAGTTCCCGGGAAAGACGGAGTCCCGTTCATCAACAGTAATCCGGCGGTTCCACTTCCCACCGGAGAAGTCGACTCTACTTCCATTAACCCTTTACCCACTTCCACAAATTCAGCACATCAGGTACACTAATTGCAATTAACGTCAACACTAGATAATAAATGTTTATGCTTTTTTAATACAAATTTGATTTGATTGATTTATGGAGATGTATGGTGTCATTGGTGTGTGCAGGTGATGATGACAGTAACGGTGAAGCTAGTTTTGTCTTGTGTAGCCTTGTTTCTTCTACTTGTAGAGAGATAATTAGTAGCAGTTTTTCTTTGACAGTTGTAGCTTTTTATGGAGGAATGATTACGTTTTCTGATCTTATTGCTAATCCAAATTAACATTAATCTTGTAATCATTCATTCTCCCTTTTGCTTTTAATTTTCTCTTATAGTAAGTAGGTGCTCTCTTGTTAGAATCTTAAGGAGTTTTTATTTTATTATATTTTGTGATGTGCATTTTAATAAATCAGTGTGGTTTCTTTCTAATTTCTGTGTGGTCTCCACTATTCTCACTCAAATGTCTCAGATTTCTTTTCAGAACTTGGGTCCCCTACTAGTAAATAAGAATATATATAGTCTATAGCTTGCTTTAATCGAACTGTTCTGTACTGTGTCCTTTCCTTTTATATTTTCAGACAGAGAGTGGAACACTACATTTTAAATCATGTGAAGATTTCTGTGAACAAGATTCTCTCAAACTTAGTGGAATGAATGAAACTTTTTAACTAGAGAAGTAGCCGTTAGTTATTTCCCGTGAGTGGAAGAGTACAAACAAAATACTAAGAGAAAGAGGAAGGGAACAAAATGAAATTAGCCGACCGTTGAGTAATGTATATGCCACTTGTGTATTGTGAGCTCTTGAAAGAGAAACCAATGAATTTCATGTGACTAATTAATTACAGCTGGCTCTTAAAAAGTACAATGAGAATATAATAAAAGCTTATTTTTATTAAAAATTGCTCCAAGACAAAGAGAGAGGTATATGGTCATTTCAGACAAAGAATTGAAAACAAAGATGATATCAACGACATTATCAGGATTTAGCTTTATATTTTAAACAGTTTCTTTACAGAATTCAATAATCCAACAGTGATAAGCGCGGCAAACGAACTTGCAATGGGTGAATCCGGAAGATGCAGCCAAAGCTTCAAACTCAGCTCTTGACCTCTCTTTGCCACCAGAACATTGGGTGAACATTAACATGTCCATGTCAAATGCAATGTTTGCGTTAATGTCTCCATTCTCCGCATCATCAGGAGTGACTAATTCTATGACAACAACTTTACCATTCTTTGGTAGTGATTTCCAACAATTCTTAAGAATCTTCACACAGTCTTCGTCAGTCCAATCATGAAGTATACGCTGTAAAACAAATTTAATCCCAAAAGTAAGTAAAAAAAAATGTACTACATACATGCAATTCTAGTAAGTATGTGTTAAAATTAAAGAATTGTTGAACTTACTTTCAAGATCATGGCATCTCCTGCTGGGACATCCACAAACATATCTCCGGCGACATGTTCCACCCCGTGGTAAGAAGGTGCTTGTGCCAAGGCACAGGGCAGATCAAAATTGATACCTTTAATTTCGGGATACTTAGAAGTCACAACACCAAGAGTATTACCAACTCCACCTCCAACATCAACCAAAACATTCACACCTTTGAAGCCTTCGTAGACTTCTAGAGCCTTCTTCACGACGGCGATTGTGAATCCGGTTTGGTTAAAGAGCTTGCTGAATCTCTCATCTGTACCCATATAGTCGAATAGTTTCATGCCACCATGTGCACGGCCAAATGCATCTCCTCCCTCTAGCACGACATCTTTCAATTGTGCCCTAAAATTTGCGTACGGTTTAAGGTAAGATCTCATAGCATTTCAATCAGGAACTAGGGCATGGAAAAACGGAACAGGTTTGTACTAAGATGAACTGTAGAAAAAATACCAGGTATTAAGGAAGACGCTGTCGAAATTGACAATGACTTGAGAAGCAAGCGATCCAATATCTTGAATGTTATCCTTCAGGAAAAACCTGCAAATCGGCTCGGCTTTGTAGACCCTCTCGCCCTTTCCGGCTTGGACCGTACCGCACTTGACCATGGAGTAGCTAGCGAGTAGACGAAGCATACGATCTAACAAAACCGGCGCCCCAGGGTTGCGAGGTGTGGTTGGTAGCCGGCTCGATATCTCGGAAGGTGAGAGGAACTCAGAGGCGGCATAGAGAGTGTCAAAGACACCGAGCTCGAGGGAAGCTTTGAGAACCATTGGAAAGGCTGCAGCATTGGCTAGTCTCACGGCCATCAATCCCAACTCATTATCATCATCATCAATAACAATTTGGGTTTGGGGGTTAGAGCTCAAGGTTTCTTCAAAAAGGATTCCCATTTTTTTCTTTCTTCTCTTTCACGGTACCGTACGTGATCACTCTGATCAGAAGCGAGGAAAGATAGATAGGGAGAGAGAGGCTGTGTATGTGTGTTTCTTATTTGTAGTGTTGATGAAGATGATTTCTCCTTTTATAGCTAAGGCTTTATAGCCTCCTCATATTATTTTAACTAAATTTATTGTATTCATTGAATTATATCGTTGGCGTGCCGGTCCACTTGGCTGGCTGAATAGTCTCGATGTGGAAAAGTAAGAGGCCCTTGTTGCGGCTGAAACAGCTAAATCTTGTTTCAAGTCAATTGGTTTTGAAAAGTCAATGTTCAAAGGAGACGACAGTCACTTTAATTTCATCACTATGGTAGACCAAGTGACTATAAAAGTGTATATTACGTTCGCAAATATCGGTTATAAAAGAAAATAAAATAATAAGCAAATATCTTATTTATTTTGTTCTTCAGTTTGATCGCATAATAATAAAATAAATTATAATACGCAGAGAAACGCATAGCTCCAAGTCTCCAACTTGATTTGAACGATTGCGACATAGGAAGGACAAGAAAAATACGGAAATCTTTATTTTATTTTTCTTTAGTAGGATAATATATCTGCTGTAATTTGGACCGAAGTGAGTGTAAACATCACGCTTGTCCTCTATGGCCTCCATCTTGAATCGGCCTTCTAGGAAGGTCACGAGTTTTGGATTGTCAAACTTCATTTTTACTTATATAGTTTTGGGTTAATTAGATCAATAATCATAAGAAAACTTAAAATTCAAAGAGTAACCATATAATGGACCAATTTAAGTAAATTACAAAGTTGTTACGTGTGTGACTGAAATTGCCTTTGTCTTTGCATGGTTATTACGGTGGTAGGTGAGTGAGCCTGATGACTGATGAGTTGTTATGGATGGATAAGAAGGTTGCATATTTCTGGGGAAAGAAAGACAATTTAAATCAATGACATAACAATAAAATAAACTCTATTTTTCATTTTCCTCCAAAACCATATACGAACATTGTAATTCCATCAATTGTAATTTTCTTACTTATCTAAATTTTAACTCCTACAACTTAACCTTATCAGTAAACTTAAATACATCTTTAATTAATTTATTTATTTTTAAAAGATCTTTAATTAATTAATTATGAACATAAAATCCACGATACGAGCATAGAAGTGTATATAGAGATAAATATCAAACATTATCGTGGATTTTATGTACACTACTATGCTCGTATCGTGGCATTTTTTATAATCGTTGCACACACCTTCCGAATTTATAGTTACCAAGGATAAAACCTTAAAATTGACTCAGTTTCTTTTTTATCGGATATTCGTCCCATCATATATGATATCTTATACTTAAAACTGTATTCTTAAAAGACTACATTATTAGAATATTAATTTATTATGAAAAGATTCTTTCAAACATATGCATGATAATAGAAAAATTGAAACATTAAAATAGAGAAGTAGCTAGCCGTTATTTTTCAGCGAGTGGACTGTTAAAAAATAAATCTAAAAGCTTATTTTTATTTCATTGCATTGAAGACAAGGACAAAGGCATGATCATCGCAAACAAGGAATAAAGCGAAGATGAAATTAACAATTGATGCATGAGGATTCCTCATTATATTTTTAAACATTTTCTTTGCAAAACTCAATAATCCAACAGTGGTAAGCGGGACAAACGAACTTGCAATGTGTAAAGCCTGATTCCATGGCTAAAGCTTCAAACTCAGCTCGTGATCTCTCTTTTCCGCCGGAACATTGTGTGAACATCAACATGTCCATATCAAAGGCAATGTTCGCGTTGATGTCCCCATTTTCTGCCTCATCAGGAGTGACTAATTCTATGACAACAACTTTACCGTTTTCAGGAAGTGATTTCCAACAGTTTTTAAGAATCTTTACGCAGTCTTCGTCGGTCCAGTCATGAAGTATACGCTGTAAAACAAATTTAATCCCAAAAAGTAAGCACAATGTACAACATACATACACTTCTAGTAAGTATGTGTTAAAATAAGAGGGTTGTTGGACTTACTTTCAAGATCATGGCATCTCCGGTTGGGATATCAACAAACATATCTCCGGCGACATGTTCTACCCCAAGGTAAGAAGGTGCTTGTGCCAAGGCACAAGGCAGATCAAAATTGATACCTTTAATGTTAGGATACTTCGAAGTAACTACACCAAGAGTGTTACCAACTCCTCCTCCTACATCAACCAAAACATTCACACCTTTGAAGCCTTGGTAAACTTCAAGAGCCTTCTTCACAACAGCGATGGTGAATCCGGTCTGGTTAAAGAGTTTGCTGAATCTCTCATCTGTGCCCATATAGTCGAAGATTTTCATCCCACCATGTGCACGGCCAAACGCATCTCCTCCTTCTAGCACCACATCTTTCAATTGTGCCCTGTGAAAACAGCGTATCCATAACATAAGATTCATGGTTTAATTTGAATGTTTTAAAACATCTCAATCGATGAATAGAAAAATACCAGGTATTAAGGAAGACGCTGTCGAAATTGACAATGACTTGAGAAGCAAGCGATCCAATATCTTGAATGTTATCCTTCAAGAAAAACCTGCAAATCGGCTCGGCTTTGTAGACCCTCTCGCCCTTTCCGGCTTGGACCGTACCGCACTTGACCATGGAGTAGCTAGCGAGTAGACGAAGCATACGATCCAACAAAACCGGCGCCCCAGGGTTGCGAGGTGTGGTTGGTAGCCGGCTCGCTATTTCGGAAGGTGAGAGGAACTCAGAGGCGGCATAGAGAGTGTCGAAGACACCGAGCTCGAGGGAAGCTTTGAGAACCATTGGGAAGGCTGCAGCATTGGCTAGTCTCACGGCCACCAAACCCAACTCATTATCATCATCAATAACAATTTGGGTTTTACCGTTAGAGCTCAAGGTTTCTTCAAAAAGGATTCCCATATTTGTCCTTATCTCTTTCTTTCTTCTCCTTCACGGTACCTTACTAATTAGAAGCGAGGAAATAGAGAGAGGCTGTATGTGTGTGTAGTGTTGAAGATGATGCTTTGATAAATCTTAGTTTCTCTTTTTATAGCGAATTAAGGCTTAGCTTCCTCTGTCTTTTTTTATTTATTTTATAATAATTTCATTTAAATATATTGTTGGCGTGCCGGTCCATTTGGCTGGCTGAATAGTCAATAGTCTCTATGTAGAAAAGTAAGAGGTACTTCTGGCGGCTGAAACAGTTAACTCTGTTTTCAAGTTGGTTGGAATTTTTAATAAAAGTCAATTCACTTTGTTTCATGACTCATTGACTACATTAGTATATCTTATCTCTTATAAAAAAAATTGAAATTAAGCAAAATATATTTTTTTCATCAATTTGATCCAATTTTATGACTAAAGGGATCGACCAAACTATAAGTGTATATCTCATGTCTAATAAAGAATAAAGAGGTTAGCGAGATACTGTATCTATTTTCTTTCGTTTTTCTGTTTGTTCTTCAATTTGATCGACATAATAATATATAATTTAGGGCTAACTATAACAATAAGTCAATAACCATAAGAAAGCTGCAAATCTTAACACGTATTATAGTTAATTACAAAGTTGGTAAGTGTCCGAGCAAATTAAATCGCCTTTGTTTTTGCGTGGATTATGTCTATATGGTGGTAGTTGAGGCGATGATTATTGTTATGGATAAAAGGATGATTATTGGTTATCTCACGGCTGGTCATGCCTTATCTCTAGATCCCGATTTCTGCCCGGTCTAGTTCATTTGTCTCAAACCAACTATCCGTTGATGCTATTTCTATTGTTAAAGTGGTGATCGATCAACCCCATTCAAAAAGTTTATCGTTACATACTTACATGCATGCATTTATGTACCATAAAATCCAAATGAAAAATAAATGTAAAAAGCCTCATTTTCCTCCAATCAGGCATTTGTTCTATGAGTTAGAGCATCTCCAATGGTTTCTTCATTTTTTTCTTCATTTTTGAAGGAAAAAATGAAGAAACCATTGGATCAACTTTTCTTCATTTTTTTCTTCAAAAAGAATATTTTAGGTATATTCTATTTCTTTATGTTATTACTAATTGCTAATAAGATCCTTCAATTTTCTGTTTTATAAGTTTTCACCTACTTATTTTATTTATTGTAAAATTTCAACAAAAATTTAATAATTTTAATGGATGTAGAAATAGTTTCTCAGATTATTAAGTTGTTAGTTTATGTTATGTTAAGTTTTCTTATTTATAATTTAGTATTAGATATGTATTTTTAATTTTGTAGTTGGCTATGTTCTTGTATTTCTTAATTAATATATGTTATTGTATTTTTTATTGTGCTTATTACATTTTTAGTTTATAATTTGATTGGATAAATCCATAGTTTTAAAAAAAATTGGATACAAAAAAATATATAAGTTTTGTTTGGGTATAAAACAAAACATATAAAAAGTTAAAGTTACATTTTATAAGAAAAAAGTTCACCTTCAAAAAATGAAGAAAGGAACACTGTTCATTTCTTCATTTTGAAGGTGAAATTGAAGCACCATTGGAAAAGACTTCTTCATTTTTATCTTCAAAATGAAGGAAAAAGTAAAATTTGAAGGACCATTGGAGATGGTCTTAGTCTGTATTCTCTAATTATATTCTAGTTTTATGAACATTTTTTTGGTTTATATTCATTTATGAATCTCTCAAGCTTTTGCAATAACAGAAATTATGAATAAAACATTAAACTAGAGAAGTATGTAGCCGTTATTTCCGGCGAAAGGAAGAGGACTAACAAGTAACAACCAAGGAGAAAGAAGAAGAAAACAAATGAAAACAACCAATGATGCTCTTGTGTGAGACTTTCAAAACGAAATCAATGAATTCCATGTGGCTACAATTATTAGCTAAAGCTGAGTACAAAATGAGAAAACCAATTGATAAACAGATTTTTTTATTTCATATTGCTCGACTAAATTGTACCATTTCAAACAAAGATGAATTAAAAAGGTAAACAAGTAAAAAAAAAAAAAAGCAAAGACGAATTAACAATGACGAGGATTTAGTTTTTCTTATTTTTTTCCAACAGATTAAGTTTCATATTTTAAACATTTTCTTTACAGAACTCAATAATCCAACAGTGATAAGCACGACAAACGAACTTGCAATGGGTGAAACCAGAAGCTGCAGCCAAAGCTTCAAACTCAGCTCTTGACCTCTCTTTGCCACCAGAACATTGGGTGAACATTAACATGTCCATGTCAAATGCTATGTTTGCGTTGATGTCTCCACTCTCCGCGTCATCAGGAGTGACTAATTCTATGACAACAACTTTACCATTCTTTGGTAGTGATTTCCAACAATTCTTAAGAATCTTCACACAGTCTTCGTCATTCCAATCATGAAGTATACGCTGTAAAACAAATTTAATCCCAGATATAAGTACTAGTATACATACACTTTCAAGCTAGATGAATAATAAGTTGTTAATCTTACTTTCAAGATCATGGCATCTCCGGTTGGAACATCCACGAACATATCTCCGGCGACATGTTCCACCCCAGGGTAAGAAGGTGCTTGTGCCAAGGCACACGTGAGATCAAAATTAATACCCTTAATGTTAGGATATTTAGAAGTAACAACACCAAGGGTGTTGCCTACTCCACCTCCGACATCAACCAAAACATTCACACCTTTGAAGCCTTCGTAGACTTCAAGAGCCTTCTTCACAACGGCGATTGTGAATCCGGTTTGGTTAAAGAGCTTGCTGAATCTCTCATCTGTACCCATATAGTCGAATAGTTTCATGCCACCATGTGCACGGCCAAATGCATCTCCTCCCTCTAGCACGACATCTTTCAATTGTGCCCTAAAATTTGCGTACGGTTTAAGGTAAGATCTCATAGCATTTCAATCAGGAACTAGGGCATGGAAAAACGGAACAGGTTTGTACTAAGATGAACTGTAGAAAAAATACCAGGTATTAAGGAAGACGCTGTCGAAATTGACAATGACTTGAGAAGCAAGCGATCCAATATCTTGAATGTTATCCTTCAGGAAAAACCTGCAAATCGGCTCGGCTTTGTAGACCCTCTCGCCCTTTCCGGCTTGGACCGTACCGCACTTGACCATGGAGTAGCTTGCGAGTAGACGAAGCATGCGGTCCAACAAAACCGGCGCCTGAGGGTTACGTGGCGTGGTTGGTAGCCGACTCGCTATCTCGGAAGGTGACAGGAATGAGTCAGTCCGAGTGGCTTCGGCGTAGAGAGTGTCAAAGACACCGAGCTCGAGAGAGGCCTTGAGAACCATTGGAAAGGCGGCGGCATTTGCAAGTCTCACGGCCATTAATCCCAACTCATTATCATCATCAGTGACAATTGGGGTTTTAGGGCTAGAGCTTACGGTTTCTTCGAAAGGGTATCCCATTTCTTCTTCTTCACGGCACTCTACGTGATCACAATCAAGGAGCGAGAATGAGAGGCTGTGTGTGTTTTCTTCTTTGTGGTGTTGGAATGCTGATTTAGTATATTTCTGATTCTTATTTGTTTCTCCTTTTATAGCTAAAACTTGGCTAATTTTCTCTTTATTAAATTTCATATAAAATATTCTTGGCTTGCCGGTCTATCTCGGGTGCTGAAGAGTATTAGTATAATGTACCGTAGAAAAGTAAGAACCACTCTGTTCAAGCCATGGATTAGTCAAAGTTCAAAATTTCATCACTATAGACGGACCAACTTAATATATATATATATATATATATATATATATATATATATATATATAAAGAGTCCACGTACATATGTATAATCATCTGTTTTTGTTTCTCTTATTATTTAATTTGATCTACATAATCTTATCCAATAAATTATCCCTGAATTATAATACTACAACGGCGCATAGCAACTACTTGGTCACGACGACTATGGACGGGACAAGCGAAAGACTAGTTCTTCTTGAATACTAAATTAATTTATTTTCCATATAATTACTACTTTGTCATTTTCCTTCAATTTCACAAATAAAATTATAAGAAAATAATTCTAACAAAGTCATTTGATACAAGTCCTAACTCCTAACACACATATATATATATATATATATATATTAATATTTATATATATATTATACATACTTCGGATTCGATCAAGTTAATACCATTAATCAGAGAATTCAGGGGGAAAGAACGTTTCACTTTAGTATCCCTCAAAACTCATAGACCCTCTGGAAAACAAATATTTCATACTAATGTAGAGAATCTGGCATGTTTTTATGTAAATATATTTTGTACGGTTTTGTGTAAATGTTTTTGTCAATTTATTTCATATAAAGATATCATTACGAGTGTCCATTTTGACTGCGCAAATATGTGGGTCAAGAATCAAGAGTCAAGACAATCATGGCACATGGCAAACAAAACTCTACTCAATGTATTCAGTTCCACGAAGAAGCTGAGTCAGCTTGCCTAGTTTTATTCAATTTTTCTTGTTTTTTTTTGGTTAATACTATATACTTATATAGTATATACATTAATCCATTGCTGCATTTCTGTTAAGCCCATTTATGTTGGCCGAGTTAAATTTCCAATGTCCTGGGCCTCCTGGCTGTATGAAAGGATAGAGAAAAATCGTAAATAAATTTATTTTAGATAGAAATAGGATTCATCTTGCTAATCATCTGAAAATTATTTGCATAAACCCTTTATTTTCAATCCTACAGAAAATATATCTACTCAAATGTCATCTATGCTACAAACAGATTAACCTCCAGATTCGAAGCAGAGCTCCCGAGTTTATAATAGGCAGTAAAATGTCTATTTAGTAATAATATGCAATAGAAGAAAATGTTTTTTTTTTTTTTTGAATTGTCATCTGCACAAGTTAAGGAAGGATGTTTCGGGGACTACTTGAGAACATCACTAGCTGGCTGAACTTTTCTGATCATTGAAGCATTGACGGGACTTCTATAGAAAGCAATCGCAATGTCGAATCAATTGCATATTGACGGTGCCTAACTCATGTCAGGTCAACTCACTACCAAATTACCTCGTTCATTCTCACCACCTCTTTGAAGATCGGCGTATGGCTCATACCATTTGAACTAAATGTTTTGAGATCCTCTGTTTTTCTCTGTTTGATACTTCATTGGTATCCCTCATTGTATCAGTCCACTTTGAATCTTCTAGTATCAAACAAGCGTTACAAAAGAAAAATAACAAAAAAAAAACACTTCCGAAATTTTTATGAGATTTCGCGTTTCATGATCGTAGGACTAGCCAGGACTCGGACCACACTAGTAAAGTTGAAATGTATCATTATCAAATATAAAAGGTACAATAACCTACTTTTCACTACATTATGAGAGAATAACGGATATAAAATCGAACAACAGGTTCACACATGATGTTATCAATATATCATAACCAAATAACAAATTCTATAGCATAGTAAAAAATATACACAGGAAAAAAGAATTATTCACCTATATAAATATTATTCACATATATACAATAATTGTATATTTTATAATTCATTAATTCAATTATAGATCGTTACTAATGTAAATTATAATAAAACAAATGTGGTGTTATACTGATCGGTTTTTATTGTATAATCATATCGGATATTTTTTCTTTGAAAAAAATTTATATCAGATATTTTATCCACAATTTGAATGTGGTGTGAGCCGTAAAAAGGCACTTATAACTTTACCGTTATATATAAATATTTTTTTTTAAAAACCAGTCATATGAGTTAAATATTCCGGAATTCTAAAATGCGCGGGCATACAGCTACGTAGGCGACTACGTATGCATGCATACATATGAAGAAACATAATACGTAGATATGTATATGTGTGTGTTAAACAAGTGATGATGATGGTGAAGTGTGGTGCTATTCGTGTGGCAACCACACTCGTCCCTCTTTCTTTATATTATTATCAACTATTTCCATTGTTTTATCTCCCTATACATTTATTTCTCAGTGCTTTCCAATTCATCAATCCATCTATTTTTATATATATCAGGAAAAAAAATCCACCTTTTATATGTTCATATTATCTACTACTAATTTGTTGTTTATGATTGTTTATGATATTTAGTTGCAGACGGCTCTAATTGCTGGGTCGAAGAATCTCTAGTGTGAAAAGCATCTGATTCAAACTTGATCCCCTTCATATATGAGCTAGTTGGATTGTACTGTTTGATATTTTAATCGTCCATTATGTGTTTGTCTATCAGTAACTAATGGTGTAATTCTTTAACAGAAAAAAAGTAATTCTTTGTTTTCTTTATATTAATCCATTTGACCTATATTATCATCCTTATCATCGCTTTCTTATATATATTGAACAGAAGACCCCATAGATTATTATGATTACACTATTAAACAGTTTCAAAATCGAACAGTGTCTTATCAATACATATGTATATATATTATCCATTGATCACTTTTGGTCAAACACTAAGAAAATCCAGAGAATGGTGAACAAATAATATAAACAGTATGTGTGATTGATTAGCCCCTTTTTGTTTTGGGTTCATTTCTTTGTCGAGAAAAAAAAGTATAATCAACCAACAAAAGAAAACAGAAAGTAAAAGAATTAGAGAGGTTGTTTTATTTTCCCTTTATAGAAAAACGTTTTCACAGTTTTTTTGTTTTTTTTTTTACTAAAAAACGCTTTCACAGTTTCCGTATAGTAAGAAAAAGGGGATAAAATAAGTTAAAATAATAAAAAATGAATCAGCCGACCTCTACTCGTTTTCAATGTGTCTTAAAAATTACAATGAAAAAAATAGATATAATACAATGAAGAAAAACATTTAATTATTAGTTTTAATATACTAAAATATGAGAAAATCTGAAACTTTAAGAAACCTCTTTATTTATTTCAAATTATGTGGAGAAATTAATGGACTTATTTACCAATCGAACTCCGGTTTTTTTGTTTGTTTGAAATTTTACTTTTTAAAACAAAAAGCAACGTTAATACAAGCTTACTGGATTTTTTTGTCAATCGATTTTTGAGAATAAATTATAGCATTTTCCCAAATATAGTCTCCAAAAGGAAAACTTAATTTCATAAGAAACTTAAAGCGGTAAACATAAGAAAAACTCAAGAACTAAAGCATTATAAGTTTTACAAACTTAATTTTGGGAAACAGATTTCGTACCATAATTTTTAGTTTCTATCATCTAATTTAGTATATGCTAATATGCATGGCTTTGAATCATGGAGACGACAGAACAGCTTCATATTGCAAGTATGTAACTGCCCCTTTCGGCCTCTCACTCAGATTGTTTATTTATTTTCGGCCCTCCGCGAATTAAATAAAATGAAGTAGAAACTTACATCCCTAAGAAAGTAAGATGTGAAAAAGAAGGAGAAAACCCAAATGTGTGGTATTTCACATTTATTTCCCTCTTTCGCGTTTTCTTTCAATGATTTATAAATATTATGTTTTTTGTTGGAAAGGTATATGATGTTCCTTTTGAATTTAGTTTCAATTGAGATATATTTTATACCAATTATCGTAATGTATATGCTTTATCTTTACCGATCGTACGCGGAAATCCACTTTAATTTTGTTTCCGCTATGATTTGTTCGTTTCAAACTTGTAATCATAGTGTAAAAACGTTTAGATCTTTGCTAAATTCAATATTCTAATTTTTTGGAAAAAGAAATAATAAATATATAATGCTAATATCAAATATGTTTACTTGTACAGCTAGAACTCATAATTTGACGGTAGCCTTTCAGTTATAACAATCGATGACCTATGCATATAAGACAGTACTGAGAATACTCATTAGTACATAGCTAGTATACACACTAAAGTTGTGGAAAAAAAAGGTCAGGATTTTATAACTAAACCAAGCTGTATGTGTTTTGGTAAGTCAAACTCAAGTTTTGAAGTTTTTGAATGAAGGAAAAAAAAAAAACAGCAATGAATAAGAAGAAAACAGGTAGGAATGATTAACTTACTAGTCCACATTTTGTCCAATATAGTAATTAAAGTATTTCCTTTAGTGGTGATGATGATGCTTCAAATATATTAGTCAAGACTCAAGCCTTGGGTTTTGGTAACTAATTGAGGTTTGTGTTTTGGTAAGTAAAACTCAAGTTTTAGGAAAACAAATTCAGTAACAAGAGGAAAACAGGTGGGGGTTGATTTTAGTCCACAATTTGTCTAATATAGTAAAAGTATTTCCGTTAGTGGTGATGATGGTCCACATTTACTAATCGTCGACGCCACCACATACAAATTTTTATATTAACAAAATACAAAAGTTTCACATAAAATCTCTCCATAAATAGACCTGAACCTAGGCGTGTGTTCTCCACACTTACATCAAATATTCTCTATCTTCTCTCATTTCAACACAACTATAAGAAAAGAAAAGAAAAGAAAAACCAAATCAACAGAAATTTTAATAACTATGGAGTCCCACAACGTGAACAACAGCTTGAACCTAGACATGGAGAAAGATCAAGAAAAGGTTTTCGACTACTCCAAACGAGCTCAATGGCTACGAGCCGCCGTACTCGGTGCTAACGACGGTCTTGTCTCAACGGCTTCGCTTATGATGGGTGTCGGTGCGGTTAAGCAAGACGTCAAAACCATGATCTTATCCGGTTTCGCCGGTTTAGTGGCCGGAGCTTGTAGCATGGCAATCGGAGAGTTTGTCTCGGTTTACTCTCAGTACGACATAGAGGTGGCTCAGATGAAGAGAGAGAGCGGAGGAGAAGATATAGAGAAGGAGAAGCTTCCTAGCCCGATGCAAGCAGCTGCAGCGTCTGCGTTAGCGTTTTCTTTGGGAGCGATTGTGCCTTTATTGGCGGCTGCGTTTGTGAAAGATTATAACGTGAGGCTTGGAGTGATTGTGGCGGCGGTTACGTTGGCGTTGGTCATGTTTGGGTGGTTAGGAGCGGTTTTGGGGAAAGCACCGGTGGTTAAGTCGTCAGCTAGGGTTTTGATTGGAGGATGGTTAGCTATGGCGGTTACTTTTGGTTTGACAAAACTGATTGGGTCACATGGTATGTGATAGTTTGTGTGTGTTTACTTACGTGACCGAACACTTCTTCATGTGTTCATGCAACAAAATGGAAGCGGTTACGGTTTTTTTTTTTCATTTTAAGATGTATAAGAAACTTTGGAATAGAATCGTGACTTGTTTTATTGGTGGTAATTTGATACGAATGGAATCTCTTTATAAACCATGTATGTGATGTAAATCTGCCAATTGAAGTTTCTCTCAATAATAATGATAAATGGCGCGTTGAGTCTAAATTTAACACTTGTCAGTAATGATAAATGGCGCTTTGAGTCTTTAACACTTGTAGGCTCGCAGGCTAGTAGGCTGGTAAAATGTTTTTTTTTTGTTTTTCCGTTTGTTCTTATCAGATTTGATTTGATTCAAAGAAGCTGGATAACCGTAAATTTTTAGAGCAAGAAAACTTTAATATACGTTAGATGAAAAATAAAATATGAATATTAAAAACTAAAATCCTTTTAATTTAAACCTGAAAATGTGCCAAAAATCTGCCAAAACGCCTAATTAATTCGCCAAAATACCGCTAAATTTGTTGGTAGTTAGAACCTGTTAGAAATTATAACTATAATAAGATCAAGTAGAGCTGAAATTTATCTATTTTGTTCTTTATTAAGATAATAATGTGTGTTGTGAATGAATTTATTTTTGATCTCGAGCTCTTTATTGTAGACTACAAATACAAATGAGTTCCGTTTGGAGAAAAAAAAATCGACACTAGAGATCCATTACGTTAGACTGTTAGAGTCATGACGAATCAATGATCTCCGGAAAAAAAAAATTAAAAGAGAACTACTTTTGGAAATTGTTGTCGTGTTCTATAATCTCATATGTATTATTCCGATTTGTAAAGCTAAATCCATGCCTGCTTTTGGCACGAGATTGCGTGTAAACTCTAACATCCTCGTAAAAAGGAAAATGGAACATGTGGCTTTATTTAACAAAAATAATGCAATCAGAGATGATTCCATATCAAAAATACTAGATAGAATAGAACCAATAAATTACCAAAAGAAAGGCAATATAGAGAACACAGGTAATCTTGAGAGTTTAATCCACAGAAAATTGTAGAATAATAGGAGGGTTAAGGTTAATGGATTGCATAGAATAATTTAGCGGCATATAAAGAAATGCTTATAATGTCAAAACCGAAGAACAATCATTATCAATCAGCAAATTACAAAAGAAAAAGGAAACGCAAAATGTCTTTCTCAAATCTTCAATGTAATAATCTCTGTGTTTAGCTTCAAAATGTAATTAGGTAAAGAGAGTGAATCTATTGTATCTTGAACATGTTTTCAAGTTGCAAAGCAAGCTCCCACTCGTCTCGAGATAACTCATCCTGCAATAAAGGTTTAAGGTTTTAGATAGAGCTTAAAGCACAGTTAATTTTTAGTTTTCTATCTTTTTTGTTACAAGACAGACTTACTCGGTAGTTTGCTCTGAGTATGTCGAATGATCGACTAGAAAAATGACTGACAAGCTCGTCGTCTATACCAAAGTGCCTCCCAAACATCTTCTGTTCTCCAGGGTTAGAGGCAATGATCTAATAGGAAAAACAAACAAATTCATTGGTTTTTACAAGGTCAAATGCCAGAGAAAACGGTGAAAACACAGGTTTATAAGTGATGAAGAGAAAGAAAGCGATCTCATACCTTAATAGCCACCATCTCGTCTTTCGTAGCAGAGTCAACTGTATTATTGTTCTTCTTGATAGAAGCAACGCGACCAATATCCATAAACACTCTTAGATTCTCAATCTCTTTGATAATGCACATGGGAGTTCCAACCTAAAACATCAAGACCATTGTTAGATCCGTGTTTTCCAGAGGACATATGTGTACACAGATCCTCATGAGAAAATTAGCATATACAGTACCTTGAGTATTCCATTGGCGACATAGACTCCCAGGATGATTGGGTCTTTCTTATTAAAGACACAGTTTGGTAAAATGTTAAGGACACATGGGAACACTACTTGACAGGCTGTTTCTTTCTTTTTCTCCTCTTTGATATCCTTCAGGTAACCATTAAACCGATCGAACAGATGATAGATGATATCAGCGCACAAGATTTTTACTCCCATTCTGTCTGCAAGTTCGCGAGCCTCTGCAGTTACTTTCACGTCAAAAGCCAAAACCGTAGCATACTCTTTTTTCCTCTCTAGCATTGCGCCGGCCTTCATGATATCCTTCTTATGCACAGGTCCTATACCAATACCGCTGACAGGTATTTCTACATCTGGGGACTTCAAAAACTCAAGCAATGCTTCCAAAGACCCTAATGTAGAAGCTTGTACATAAACTCCTTCACCACTTTTGTCAATCCGTCTCATAACGGACTCCATATCTTCCATGGCCGTTTTCTTGGCTTCTTCTACATCCTCATCAGGTCCAATCACATGCAAGGAAGTACCAGCAACAGCGTGTTCAAGGCCCTTTTATAAACACCAAAAATATGGGAAGCATTTTTGATCAGGATGTGCTTCAAATTTCAAAGCACATATAACAGTGTCGGCTAGTAATGAAGACTGTGATGTTATGTAAGAGATAATCACCTGTGCAGTAATCTTGATACATTGTGCAGCCTTTACTTCTATATGATGCAGATATTTACCCTGAAAAGACCAGGAAATTCTCATCGTGTATGGAAAAAAGAATATAGCACAAATCATGTTTCCCTACGAATAACAGTTACAAGAGGGAAGAAATGGACTATCTGAAAGTACCTCCACGCGTAGTTCCTTCAAAGGATGAGGAGTCAATAATGATCTAATAGTTGTTACAATTGGTCCCTGAAAATAGGAGAAAAGGAAACGAAACAATAACATCAAGTTTACAGCTTTATGAAATACTTGGCAGTTGGCACATGATATGTTTAGGTATGCCCCATGAGGTTTCTACTTACCTTTGACCCACAAACAACGATTTGATCACCTTCGTGGAGAGCACCATTGACCAAAACAACATCAATTGTCGTACCATGGCCTTCAATAACTTTGACCTCAAGGACGGTACACTGTGTAACCATTTCAAGAAACGATAAGTATGCTGTATTGCAGAAATGACGAGTTCCCTAAAGAGAAATGAAACAGACCTGCAGTTTGTCAGCATATGTGAGTGTCTCGACCATTGTTTTCTGAGCCCATTGTACCAGCAACAGCAACAGATCTGGAATCCCTTCCCCACTGAGATATCAATATCCAAATTAATCCATTAGTTGACGTCTATGTTGGACTGGAAATTTATGACGCAAATAAATTTCAGACCTAATAGCGCTAGTAGGTACAATACTGAAAGTTTCTCCCATTTCTCTGTTCTTGTAATAAAGCTCAGTGTTGAGTCCTTGTTCTTTGAACTGAGTTATAACCTGAAACCAACAATGAAAAACAATATATATATAGGTTACATCATATGTACTCATCCTATCCACCCTAAATCATTATATCAAAACCTATAGACGTATGACTTACACTAGTGAGCCTCGTGTTAAATTCATTAATCACATCTATCGATTGCTGCTTCATCGCCTTCCTTATAGGAGCATTTTTGCTTGTTTTCCACCCATATAGTCTATCAACCTGCAAGTTGAAGGTTTTATATTGCCACATATCAGTAATAATATAAAAAACCAACCACATCCCAGCAGAATGACGAGAACTCTCACCTTATTTAAGGCAACAATGAATTCTGTATTCCTCATTCTCAAAAGATTTAGAGATTCTATAGTTTGTGGCTCTAGACCATGCATTATGTCAACCACTAGAATTGCAAGGTCACACAAATTTGAGCCCCTTGACCGCAGATTTGTGAATGACTCATGCCCAGGCGTATCAATAACCAATAGACCTGGCACCTTAATTTTTGCATCAGCCTTTAACTCCTTGGTCCTCTCACGGATGTTTTCTGCAGGGAAATACGTTGCACCAATCTGTTGAGTAATACCTCCAGCTTCACCTTCCTGAACATTTGTTCCTCTGATGCAATCCAACAGCTTTGTTTTACCAGTGTCAACATGTCCCATGATGCAGCAAATGGGAGAGCGAAGATTTTCTTGTTTTTCTTTAATACCTTCTTCATTCAGTACTGAACCTTTACCCCTTTTAGAAGTATCTTTTGGCCGAGTAGCATCATCCACCTTATGCATAGCTTTTTTGGCAGCTGTTGTTGGCTTGCCTGCAACTCCTGCCGTTACTGTTGGACTATCAGTGAGAGGATCTGTATTGAAACCCAAAATATTAGATTAAGAACAGACAAGGGATAAAGACACTAGTGTTTATCATGACCTGAATAATGTGTCTTTGATGTAGTGTCTTTTAATTCTATATCAACCACAGGCTGAGGTTCTTCGTCCTCTTCATCATAATCACCACTTTCTGCTTCCCAATCATCCTTCTCATCACCATTCTCATGTTCTACATAAGCAGCTGCTTGCTTTTCTTTCGTGCCTGCTGATTCTATTCTATCAATCCTTTCATCATCAGCTCGTTTTGTTTCTACATCATCTTTCACCTGGAGAGAAGCAGAACCTTTTGCTTTTTCGCGAGCTGATTTTTTTTTGTTGGCATAAATGGGACGCTTTGAGGAATCACCGTTTTTATCTGCAACAAGAAGAATCCCAGCTTCAGTCAACGCCTTGTTCTTGAAAGCCTGATCCCTCTTTTGCTTTTCTGTTAGAATCCCGCCCTCTTGCTTCTTCTTCTGCAATTTCTCCTTATTCCTTATCCTTCTCCTCTGTCTAATCTCTTCAGCTTCCCTCTCTCGCTCTTCCTGCATGAGGCGCTCTTCTTCTTCTTTCCTCAGCTTCTCTTCTTCCTCCTTCATCTTCCTCTCTTCAGCTTCTTTCCGCCTCGCAATAATCTCTTGCATCTCCTGAACGTGTTTAGGAACTTTCTTCTCCGCTACTTTACCCTTTCCATCTTTCTTCTTGGGCTGTGATGGCTCAGACATTGAGTTCTCTTGATTAGCCTCCACAGAAGACATATCTGCTTTCTTTATCTTGTCCTTCTTCTTTCTCCTTTTCTTTGCTGCAGCTGACTCAACAGTCTCTTCTTCTCCATCCTTCTCACCAGCACCATCTGCAGGTGCAACTGGCTCATGTGAAACAGGAACAGGAGTTATCCCAAGTTCTGCAAGAATCTTGTCCAAATCATCTTCTTCACGTGCACTCCTTCCACTCTTGTTTTTCTTGTTTTTCTTACTTTTTGAAGTTTCTCCAACCTCCTCACTCTTAGTAGCAGAATTATCCTCGGTGACTTCTCTTCCAAGCATCGACTCATCGCCCAATTTAACACTATCATCATCCTCTGCTTCCTCCTTGTAATCATCTTCAAGATCAGGCAGAGCAAATTCATCATTCTCCTTAACTTCCATAGGTTTTTTACAACCTTTCTTTCCCTTCTTCTTTCCGGTGATCACAACCTTGTCTTCCTCAGCTTTAGGGTTCTCACATAGCTCCAAGCCAATGGAGCTCTCTTCATCTATCAAAGATGATTTCTTCTTCGATTTTTCACCTCCCATAGACGACGAGACAAAGGAATGATCTTCGTCTCCACCACACGCACTCGATTTCTTCCCATCCATTGATAAAATTCGAAGATGAATATAGTCTGTGATTAACCCAAATACCGAAAAAAAAAATTACAATCAGGTATCAGATTTCAAAGGCTAACAATAACATTCGAATCAACAGCAATATTAACACTCGAATCAACATCTAAATAAAAATCCCAGTAAATCCGAGCGAGAGATGGAGAGAAGTTTACCTTTTTCGCTGATGGGTTTCTCTTCATATTAGGCAAAAACAAACCAGGAGGAATTACGGAACAGCAAAGAAGTCACGGAAGAAGATTAGGCCTTGTGGGAGATGAGTAAAGTTCTTCGCTGCAGAGAAAATTGCGATTTCAGAGTTTCGAACGATTTCGGGTTGGTCGCGTATTTATAAGGGATTTTTGGGTTTAGGCTAAATAGGAAAACGCAAGCGTTCATTCTCCCCTTAATTGATTTATTTTCGCATTTATTTATTTCCTTTAATAAATGGAACTGGAAAAGTTAAAAACAAATAAATTCGAGAAGGAAAAAATTCGCTACACACGGGAAAAAGAAAAAGTCACAAACGAAATTCAAATTAGTCAAAAACAGATTTGTGAAAAACGAAAATCTGTACAGATCTCTGCGATAGCTCAAAGGGAGGAAGAAACCGAGACGATCCTCTGATTCAGCGAAGAAATGTCGACCGACAGCGACGATCTAGACGAAGATGAGCTCCTTCAAATGGCGTTGAAAGAGCAATCTCAGAGAGATCTTACCTATCAGAAGCCTCCTTCCGCCAATTCCCGTAAGCCCGTCGCCAATTTAGTGCAGCAGCCACGTCAACAGAAGAAACCGGCAGCTCCTCCGCCGAAGAAGCCGATGGGAGGTCCGGCGGCCGCAAGGAAGCCATCGATGGATGAGGACGATGAATCGGAGGTTGAATTGCTCAGCATTTCGAGCGGGGATGAGGATGAGGAGAAGTATCGGGGAAAAGGTGGTGCTGCAGGTGGCGGGAGAAGAGGCGACAGTGGCAAGGAGAGAGGAAGAGCGAGGAAGGAAGATGATGGAGCTTGGGATGGATTAGAGCCCGATTGCTGGAAACGAGTAAATGAAGCTGAGGTACGTATCTATCGAGTCTAAATTTATCTGGCTCCAGTTTTCTTTTGATAAGATTATGCGTGATACTTTCGAGCTTAGAATTTGAATTTTCGTTTGGCTATAGTTGTGTTTGCTGCATCGTTTTGATTTAAAGTAGTCGTAAGTAATCTTTGCTTATTTGATCGAGTTTAGGTTTACATCGAAAATTTGCTTTATGTGATATCGATCGTATGACCCCTGAATATTCTGTTCATAAAACAGTTTTGAGATCCTCCGGAAGGATTTGATATATGAACCCAACTCAAGGCCATTGGTTCTGTTAGAATCATAGCATCACGCAGATTCAGTTGGAAATATGAACGTTTCACTCTAATGCTGGTGACATTTGGCAGCTTGCCCGCAGGGTTCGTGATATGCGGGAGTCAAGAACAGCACTACCTGCGACTGAGAAGCTTGATGGGAAGGTATCTGGAGCTGGCAAGAAAGTTGTTCTTACCAGTTTGCAATCGTTCCCTCGTGGCATGGAATGCACCGATCCACTAAAATTAGGGTACTTTCTCTCTTTTTGTGGCTCACCGCAAATGTCAGTCAGATACTTTACTCTTATCTCTGAGAAGATGAGATGGAAGTGCGTAGCTAAACATGGCTATGTGTACGTCGTAGGATAATAGATTACAAGACGCTGAGATTAATCATGAGTCATCAGAAAGTCTTTCAAAAGCTGAGAGAGTGGATAATGCACTTTCGGGGGATGTATTTCTTCATGACTATACTTTCAACTTGGAGTTAATTTAGCTTTTACAAAGGACTTGAACTTTCTGGGGGCTTATGTACATTGTACAACTTCCGGTTTTTAAAATTTGTAAATTTACTCGTCTGAGAATTTGCAGAAAAGTTGGTGTACATCTCTGACCATTTCGATCCCAAGCTGTTTCTTTCTCGCATTCACCAAGAGACCAGTGCAGCGGACTTGGAATCTGGTGCCCTTGCCCTGAAAAGTGACTTAAAGGGCCGAAATTTACAAAGGAAACAGTTGGTGAAAGATAATTTTGACTGCTTTGTCTCGTGTAAAACAACAATTGATGGTATGTATTATTACACTCAATTGGTGGCTTATTTTGGCTTTTATCTTTTCTCTTGTTGATGTGAAGGCTACTGCCTTTGGTTACAGATATTGAATCAAAACTGAAACGGATCGAAGACGATCCAGAAGGATCCGGAACTACTCATTTGTTCAACTGTATGAAGAGTGTGACATCTCGGGCTAATCTTGCCTTTAAGCCACTTTTTGAGAGACAGGTTGATTTGGTCACGTACTAATGTTTTTTGGTGTTGTAGTAGCCTCTTGCTGTCTTCTTAAGCCTTTTTTTTTACCATAATTCTTAGGCCCAAGCTGAGAAGATCAGGTCTGTACAAGGAATGCTTCAGAGATTCCGCACACTCTTCAATTTACCAAGTATAATTCGTAGTAGTATCAGCAAAGGCGAGTATGACTTGGCTGTTCGGGAATACAAGAAGGCGAAGTCCATTGCTCTTCCATCTCATGTATGCTTGTCCCATTGATCACACTCTTCAGACATATACCACTCATTTTTTCTCACAGCATTCACTTGTAGGATATTTCTTAGAAAACTTTTGAAAGCATAGAGTGACACGTTTCTTACAGGTAAATTTACTCAAGCGCGTACTTGAAGAGGTTGAGAAAGTCATGCAGGAGTTTAAAGGCACCCTTTACAGATCTATGGAAGATCCGAAAATAGATTTTACGACTGTAAGTTAAGTATTACTACTTCCATTCTAATGTAAATTACTAATGGAATGAACAGTTCATCATTTAAATAAGTTAAAGGATGGCCTGGTGCTTTTGTTTTAATATCACATATCAGTTTCTAAGTGAACAGTTATTGAAGTTTTCATATTTCTCTTTTTTTTTGTAATAGACATTCATGTAACTTCTCTATCCATCTCTTCCTGTACTTCAAGCTAAAATTTAATTGCTTAATTTAGCTGGAAAACACTGTGAGGCTTTTGCTGGAGCTGGAGCCCGAATCGGATCCCGTTTGGCATTACTTACATGTTCAGGTTAGTGCGTGCGTTAGATGTTGTTGCTCTTTTTTCGACGGCTTTCCTACCTTAGTGCTGAGGAGTGTCTGAATTCCTAATAGTTTTGAGTTCAGTATCCATATTTTCGCTCTCTTAGCCTCTGGTATTATGCATTTCTTTCTTTCATGATTGTGGTCGAGAAACACACACTATATATAGTTTCCCAGACTATTTGTGGAATTACGTATATAAGGTTTTCTGGCTGGGTCCTTTCTTTTATCAGAATCAAAGAATCCATGGGCTGCTTGAAAAGTGTACCTTTGATCATGAAGCAAGGATGGAAATTTTGCGCAACCAGGTGCATGAGAGAGCTCTCTCTGACGCGAAGTGGCGACAAATCCAACAAAATGGTGTTCAACTTGTAAGTTCAACTGTGAGGGCAGCTATATTATTTCAATATAATCAAGATTCAGGTTTAAAGATGATAACATTCGTACTTCTTTCAATGTTTCAGTCAGATGACACGTCTATTATGGAAGATAATCAAGTTCAAGTTGACCTACCACCAGTAGAGTCAGCCGGAAAAGATAATGATGCTTTGAGGGGAAGATACATCAAAAGATTAACTGCTGTTATCGTATATCATCTCCCTGCGTTTTGGAAAACAGCTCTTTCTGTTTTCAGTGGGAAATTTGCCAAGGTACCTGATACTCCTATGTGCTCTGCTCCTGCAGTAGATTAACTCTGTGTATTATAATTTTGTAAGCTGAGGGTAGTACCTATTTCTATCTTTATTCAAATGGAGGGAAATCTTACTTTGATTGAATTCTACCAAATCAGTCTTCCCAAGTTAACGATACTTCAGCCAGCAAAGCTGAGGAGAAGGTGGAAGAGGCGAGGTATTCAACTCATTCGTTGGAAGAAGTTGCGGGGATGATACGAAATACCATTTCTGTCTATGAAGCAAAGGTCATTTCCTTGCCTCTTTTCTGTCAACTGATCTTTTCAATAGAGCTTTTCTTTGCTATACTAGAAAGATGAACTCTGTTATATATTCGAATGCATTGGTTCTGATACTTTTTTTCCCTGCTTATTGCTTGTGTAGGTGCAAAGCACATTTCATGACTTTGACGAATCATATATTCTCCACCCATATATGAGTGATTCCATCAAAGAAGTATCAAAAGCATGTCAAGCGTTTGAGGCGAAAGAGTCAGCTCCTCATAGTGCTGGTATTTGAGTTTCTTCTGATACTTGAGCTTGTTGTTTCGCTAAAGTATACTGAGATTCTGTATACACTTTTGTTTTGGCAGTCATGGCACTAAGAAAAGTTAAGGTGGAAATCACTAAAATATACATCCAACGGCTTTGCTCTTGGATGAGGGCGTCTACAGAAGGAATATCAAAGGAGGAGACGTGGATCCCAGTTTCTATTCTTGAAAGGAATAGATCTCCATATTCCATTTCTTACCTGCCCCTTGCATTCCGCTCAGTTATCGTTTCTGGGATGGAGCAAATTAATCTGTAAGTTTCTAGCATCTTGCAGTTACATGTATATACAAATACTTAACCTGTCTACTTTAAGAGCTACAAATTTTAGCTATATGATTTGTAAGAGTTCTAGATATCTTTGATTCCAGCTCGAAAATACTATGATTTAATGTTCTACTTTTCTCTCTAGTTAGAGAAAAATATGGCAGTTGCCAAATTGCCATTTTTATGATTCTGGTCGTGAAGCATGCAATTAGAGATATTTAGAGAACTGCATTTGCAATTGTGTACTGCTAATTTCCGTGTTTTAATGGCTGTGTTGCCGTATATGGTTGCTGATTTCTGGTTTTTCTTTTTCCAGGATGATTCAGTCTTTAAAAGGTGAAGCTGCTAGATCAGAAGATATGTTCGCCCATATTGAGGAAATCCTGATATCTGTTAGACTTGCCTTTTTGAACTCCTTTCTGGATTTTGCTGGTAAGCCTTTTACACCAAACTTCTGTGATAGTACATGTATACAGATGCCCACACATTAATGTGGGCAGACAAAAAGAACATTTATGCGGATCGAGTCAGATGCACACACTAGAAAATGATTATGTTGATAGGCTAATTGCTTTTTGCATATATCAGCTCACTTGGAGCAAATTGGTGCTGACATTTCTCAAGGCACCTCAAAGCAAGAGGGTTGGCATAATGGATATTCCAACGACCACCAGGAAGAACCATCAAAAAATGCTCCAGAAAGTGTTGTTGATCCCCACAGTCAGTTGTTGATGATCTTAAGTAATATAGGTTACTGCAAAGACGAACTTACCTCTGAGCTTTACAACAAGTACAAGTATACCTGGTTACAATCTAGGTGGGTCCCTTTCTAATTTGATTGTGCCTTTTATAATATCAATATTTACCTACCTCTGCTCTAACTGGTAGAAAAGTGTCTCGACCATGCTAATTAGTACCAATATCTGAACTTTCCTTCTCAAATATTTGAATGTCATCATGTGAATTAGTGGATGGTGTTATTGTTTACTTGCCAATCAATTGTGTCTCTCAAATGTTGCAGGAGAAATGATGAAGATAGCAGTGATCTTCAAGATTTAATAATGTCCTTCTCTGGTCTTGGAGAAAAGGTCCTCGAACATTACACTTTTGCTAAGGTAACGTTTACTGCTAGATTAGTTTAGTAATGCGGTCGCTGCGTTTAGAGAATTGATGCACCTTCACTGCACAACGGAAGCAAGAATGTTCTTTCTTTTAACCCTTTCCTTTTAAATGAGTACTTATACATCTTGTACCCAGGCACACTTGATCAGAACAGCTGCAACAAGTTATTTGCTGGACTCTGGTGTTCAGTGGGGTGCAGCGCCTCCTGTAAAAGTAAGTAGCAAGTTAACTCTCGGCTGTGGATTGTTCTTGTTCCTTAGAATCAATGAATATATTTGTTTAGACTCTTGTCTTACAGAACCAATAACTAAAACTTTCCTTCAGGGCATAAGAGATGCTGCTGTTGAGCTGTTGCACACTCTGGTTGCTGTCCATGCAGAGGTAGTACGATTGTTTCATTAGACCAAAAGAGAGTTTATTTGATCGTTAAGACACTCAAACACCAGACTTGAGTATTCCCAGTTTAAAAACCCGTTAATTCTACACTGACAACTGTAATTACAGGTATTTGCTGGTGCCAAACCTCTATTGGAAAAAATTCTTGGCACTTTGGTCGAAGGTCTGATCGACACATTTCTCAGTCTTCTAGAAGAAAACAGATCTGACGACCTGGCTTCAATAGATGCAAATGGTTTCTGCCAACTGATGCTTGAGGTAAACATATTAGTCTTCTCATCTTTATTTAGCGAGTGGGTTAATAGTTAAAAAGATTATATAATATGTTTTCACAAACTGACGATGCAGCTCGAGTATTTCGAGACTATATTGAATCCATATCTCACGCCTGATGCAACCGAGTCTCTAAAGTCTCTGCAAGGAGCTGTGTTGGAGAAAGCTACAGAGAGCATCAGCGAGACAGCTGAGAACAACGCAGGAGGGCATCACCGGAAACCAACACGTGGCAGCGAAGATGCAATCTCAGATGACAAACAATCATCCGTATCTCCAGATGATCTCATTGTAAGACTGTGTTATATCTCCTTAAATGATATTTACCATCTTCAAAGCTAAAAACCTCTTACGAAAAGCGGTTTTGTTTTGTTACTGTTGCTGCTTTAGGCTCTTGCACAGCAGTGTACAAGTGAAATGCTTCAACTGGAGCTAGAGAAGACCCGTTTGAATAGTGCATGCTTCGTTGAGATTATCCCGTTGGATTCAACGCCTCCAGTAACCAAAGCTGCCTACTCGTCTTCGAGATCATCAATGGATTCTCCCAGCAGAAACTATAGAGAGTCACAATCAATGGGTTCTCCTGCTCAGACCAGACCCAGACGGAGATAAGACTATTTTTCTCATTCTCGATGCATTGCTCCCATGTTACTATGACTCGAAGCGTGTTGATGATCGTTCCAATAGGATCTTTAGATCTTTATTCCGTTTCCAACTTTTGATCTCAATGCTCTCTTCGTTCTAATTCGTTATATATTCGTTTCTTGATTTTACATATCATGTTTACATTATATCGTTTCCAACTTTTGATTTCTACTTTTCTTTCTTCAAATCGGTCTTCTTTGCGTGTTCATCCTCATAAGTATGTTACACCACTTCTAATATGAAGTATAGATATCTTTTTCTTCTTCTTCTTTTTTCTCAAAATAAAGATTATCAACCTTTTCTGTCAAAAAAGATAATAAAACCTTTTGACAACGAGAATAGATCGAATTGATTCATGCAAATATTGAATAAAACTCTCATACATGATTATGAACAATCATTAGTGGAATTCAAAGTCCAAGTCCAATCACAAGGTCTCATTTTGTCTATTCAATAAAGTAATCATAAAATATTTGTGGGGTTGAATTTATATATTGCAAGAAGTTTGGACGTGAAAGGAAATAAGTTTACACAAAAGAAGAGCTTTTGGCATCCACCTGTACACAACTTTTAACTGGCGCAACACACAGACATGTTTTTGGAGAGAGAGAGAGAAACCCTGAGAAGCTGACCGGAGAAGACGAAGCAAGTTCAAAATTTGTTTGTGAGTTACTTCTTCTTCTTCTTGTTTTACTCATCTCTCGCATTCACCGCTTAATTTCTTCATCCTGATTTGCTCTCTGCCTGTTTTCTCTGCTAAAGTTTCGATCTTCAATTTCCACGAGATCCATCCAGTACCTTCTTTTTATAAGAAACGCTTCGTGACTTTATAAGATCTATACGTCTCTTCGATTTGCGGATTTACTCTGATGATTTTTTCTCCCATAGGAAGAGACTTGGGTAGGAAATGGATGGTAATTTTCCGCAAGGAAGTGTGGTTCGTGGTGGAGCTTCTTCGTACGGCGGATTCGATTTGCAAGGTCCTACGAGAGTTCATCATCCAGATTCTATGAATCAGCATCGACACAACCCAAATTCTCGAACCCTTCACGAAGGTCTTCCCTTTACTATGGTTACAGGTCAAACCTGTGATCATCACAACATGTCAATAACTGAGCAGCATAAAGGTGAAAGAGAGAAGATCTCAGTGAGTGACGATGATGAACCAAGTTTCACAGAGGAAGGTGGTGATGGTCACAACGAGGCCAACAAATCCACCAAAGGATCTCCTTGGCAACGAGTGAAGTGGACAGATAAGATGGTGAAGCTTTTGATAACCGCTGTGTCTTATATAGGTGATGATTCGACCATGGATACTGGTAGTAGAAGGAAGTTTGCGGTTTTGCAGAAGAAAGGGAAATGGAAATCGGTTTCCAAAGTCATGGCTGAGAGAGGTTATCATGTCTCGCCGCAGCAATGCGAGGATAAGTTCAATGATTTGAATAAACGGTATAAGAAGCTTAACGACATGCTTGGTAGGGGAACTTCTTGTCAGGTTGTTGAGAATCCTGCGCTTTTGGATTCGATTGGTTACTTGAATGATAAAGAGAAGGATGATGTTAGGAAAATCATGAGTTCCAAACATCTTTTCTATGAAGAGATGTGTTCATACCACAATGGGAACAGGTTGCATTTGCCTCATGACCTTGCTTTGCAGCGTTCGCTACAGTTGGCGCTTAGAAACAGAGATGATCATGATAACGATGATTCTAGGAAACACCAGATGATGGAGGATGTTGATGATGAGGACCATGATGGAGAAGGTGATGAGCATGATGAGTATGAGGAGCAGCATTTTTCACATGGGGATTGTAGAGGAGTTCATTACGGAGGTGGTGGTCCTTTGAAGAAGATGAGACAGAGCCATAGCCATGAAGATGCTGACCATCCGAATCACGTTAATTCTCTTGAATGCAGTAGAGGCTCTTTACCTCAAATGCCGTTTCCTCAAGCTGATGTGAACCAAGGTGGGGCAGAGAGTGGGAGAGCAGCTTCGGTGCAGAAGCAGTGGATTGAGTCTCGGACTCTCCAGTTAGAGGAGCAGAAGCTTCAGATCCAAGTTGAGTTGCTGGAATTGGAGAAACAGAGATTCAGGTGGGAGAGGTTTAGTAAGAAAAGGGATCAAGAACTCGAGAGAATGAGGATGGAGAATGAAAGGATGAAACTTGAGAATGATCGGATGGGCTTGGAGTTGAAACAAAGGGAATTGGGTGTTGAATTGTAAACAGAAGTGGCTTTACTTCCCTTTGATTGGTATATATAGCTTCGCAAACTAAGACTCATTTTCTGCTATTGTAAGCTTGCTTTAACTGTAATGATCTCGAGACTTTGATGTGAGAGAACATTGCGGTCGTGATGGTTGAGAATATAGTGATAGGATTGGTTGATATAAGCAAGCTCTCTTAGGTTTGCTTTAACATTAGCATCCAAGTCACTTTTTCATATTAACCTTATGGCTTGAACTTATCAACTGGTTAAGGTTATTTTCATCATTCTGGTGTATTTTATTCTTGACGTTCTTAATCCAATTTCTGGAATGTAACAAATATCTCTCTCTCTTTTTATTTTCTTGTTTCTAATCCCCATATCCAGGATTGTTCAATTCAAATCTGGCTCCGTTGGTAATTTATCCAAAAGCCAGTTTGAACTATGTCAATGAAAGAAACTCCTAAACTGTGTATTGAGAATAATCTCTCCTCTCTATTCTTTTAAGATATTTCTGTGTATACTAAATAGTTACTAACAAAGAAGCCCTTTCTTTGTTATTAACTATTGTAATTCTCAAGTCAAAGCAAACTCCACTTCCTGGTCTGCAGGTTTCTGTTCTGTGTGTGTGCTTGTAAACGTCCTTAGCTCACTGATTCAAAGACATGTGAAAGTAGAACCTGAGAAATGTTATCTTCGTAGCATAATTAGCGACCAGAAGTGTTATTCTGGTCGATGATTTGGTGTATATGTTCAGCTTTGTTGGCCTTGTTTACGCGAAAACGCACCAGAAGAGTTGTATTTACACAGAGTATGTGATCTCTGTTCACGCTGATAGCATACTCAGACGTTAAGGGTCCCTTGCACGAGGAGGAAGAAGGTGAAAACAATCATCAGCAACAAAAGACAAAAAAACATAAGCTAGCATGCATCCAGCAGCACCTTTGTATAAAGTAATGTTCCTCTTCCTGTGATAGAATCTTTATGCTTCAAGGATTCTTGTATCGTGTTGTCTTCCCCTAAAATCTTTGTTAGATTGATATTTGTCAGTTCAAAAACCGATATTTGGTTGGTTTCACTCAAAACATTAGAATTCAAGTGGAGTTTTCTTCGACTTATATGATTATATCACCGAATATTCAAATAACTATTATATGTGGTGATATATGTCTTAAAGGGTACAAAAGAAAATCAAAAGAAAACAGACCATGCCATTCAGTTAATTAAAAAAACGTAATTCTGACAGAGACTCAAGTTGACGAGAGCTCAAATGGTTATTTTTTTATTTCTTCTTATCATTGTCAAATGGGTTTTCCATCCTATAATATCTAAAGCATCTCGTCAGAAACTTACCTTTTCGTTCACATTTGAGGATTCCTTTGCAACGACCGATCCTTATGATCTTTGAATCCTTCAAAAATAACAAATAATATAAATATGAACTGTTAAAAGGAAACGTAGACGTTCGGATACTATTATCATATGGTATACTTTAACGCCCCCTTGTATTACACTGACTTAGACTTCACTTGACCGACATTAAAGTAGAAAAAGTCTTGGCTGTGTAATTGGACGATAGATTATAGTATTGTAAATTCGAGAAACAAAGGAAAAGAAAAAAAATGGGAATTGGTCTGCACACAAGGGTAAACAGATCATTTGAAGAGCTCCTCAACTTTTATTCCATATAAGAAGCCTCAGAGGGATGAGAGAAAACTCCAAAGAGGAACAAGTTTGTTGAAGATGAAGTTGCAGGGTTTGTTCTTGGTGGCTATTATATGCCTTTCTTACACGCAGCTGGTCAAGGGGCAACCCTCTACCAATTGCTCAACAACAACCTGTGGCAAGGTTACACTTGAGTACCCATTTGGCACTTCTTTTTCTCATGATCCAGATTGTTACCGTTCCGAAGATCCTAGTTTCAAACTCACTTGTGACAAGGAGAAGCTACTCTTTGATGACCTCGAAGTGGTCCACGTCAATTATAATGCAAGCCAGCTACGAGTCCTGATTCCAGTATCATACGTTTGCTTCAACAGCCAAGGACATATAAGTTCTGAATCCAACTTGATTGGGCGGCTGGGAAATCTAACTCTCTCCAAAAACAACATGCTTACTGCAGTTGGCTGTGACATGGTCGCGTATCTGTCAACTGCTGGATCTCGAAGAAGAACTTCAGTAGGATGCGTATCAATATGTGATGATCCTCTTCCCCAAGTAACAGATCGTCAATGTAATGGTGTAGGTTGCTGCCAGAGCCCAGTCCCTGCTTGGAGCAATATTTTCATAGTCAGCAGAAATCGCCTTAGATACACTTCTGTGCGTAGTTCTACTAGTCCTTGCATCTACGCTTTTCTCGTTGAGAATGGCACTTTTAAGGTCAGTGGTGTGGAAAGTGTTACGAATCTGCAGAATACGAGGTTTCCTGTGTTATTAGATTGGTCTATTAGAGGAGAGACATGCGAGCAAGTTGGAGGAATCAAAAAATGCGGTGCGAACAGCGAGTGTTCCAACTCTACTGACAACACTGGGTATGTCTGCAAATGTTTACAAGGTTTTTATGGGAATCCATACCTTCGCGAAGAAGGCTGCAAAGGTACTTTCAACTTGAATTTCGTTTTCTTTTGAGTGTTAGTTATATTGTTTTTCTTTGTTGCATCTTACACACTTTTTCCTACCTTCCATATCGTTGCAAAGGTAACTTGCAAATTGTTTTCTTTCTTCTTCTGAGAGTTAATTGTTTTCCTCATACATTTCTTGTTGCGCTTTGCCAGATATCGATGAATGTACTCATCCTATCCACAAACATAATTGTCCGGAATTCAGCACCTGTGAGAACATCCCTGGAAGCTTTCTTTGTAATTGCAAATCTGGTTACGACTTAGATACCACCACTAATATCTGCATTCCAAAAGACAGCCCTGAATACTATACAAAATGGACTCAAACTGTTCTTGGTAATCTCTCTTTCACTCATTCTGGATTCTCTGTTTCCTGAAACAGCTCAGCTCTATATATTTATACTTTTTTTGTGATGCGTTCAGGAACCACCATCGGCTTCTTGGCCATCCTGCTTGTCGTTAGCTGTGTACAACAGAGGATGAAGCACCGGAAGGACGCCAAACTCCGACAACAATTCTTCGAGCAAAACGGCGGTGGAATGTTGATGCAGAGACTCTCAGGAGCAGGGCCATCAAATGTTGATGTCAAGATCTTTACTGAGGAAGGCATGAAGGAAGCAACTAATGGTTATGATGACAGCAGAATCCTGGGCCAGGGAGGCCAAGGAACAGTTTACAAAGGAATATTGCCAGACAACTCTATAGTTGCTATAAAGAAGGCTCGGCTTGGAGACAATAGCCAAGTCGAGCAGTTCATCAACGAAGTGCTAGTACTTTCACAAATCAACCATAGGAACGTGGTCAAGCTCTTGGGCTGCTGTCTAGAGACTGAAGTTCCATTGTTGGTCTATGAGTTCATTACCAGTGGCACCCTTTTCGATCACTTGCACGGTTCCATGTTTGATTCCTCCTTTACATGGGAACACCGTCTGAGGATAGCCGTAGAAGTCGCTGGAACTCTCGCATATCTCCACTCCTCTGCTTCTATTCCAATCATCCACCGCGATGTCAAGACTAATATTCTCCTGGACGAAAACTTGACTGCAAAAGTAGCCGATTTTGGGGCCTCAAGACTGATACCGATGGATAAAGAACAGCTCACAACAATGGTGCAAGGCACTCTCGGTTACTTAGACCCAGAATACTATAACACGGGATTGCTAAACGAAAAGAGCGATGTCTATAGCTTTGGGGTAGTCCTCATGGAACTGATCTCCGGTCAAAAGGCATTGTGCTTTGAAAGGCCACAGTACTCAAAACATCTGGTCAGTTACTTTGCTTCTGCCACAAAAGAGAATAGGTTGCATGAGGTTATCGATGGGCAAGTGATGAACGAAGATAATGAGAGGGAGATCCAGGAAGCTGCAAGGGTTGCTGTTGAATGTACAAGATTGACGGGAGAGGAAAGGCCAAAGATGAAGGAAGTCGCTGCAGTGCTTGAGGGCTTGATAGCCACAAAAACCAAACATCAGTGGTCGGATCAGTATCCTGAGCCAATGGAGTTCGAACACTTGCTCGGCGTTGAAATCTTATCAGCACAGGATGAAACCAGTAGCACTGGCTATGACAGCATCAAGAATGTAGCAAGGTTGGACATCGAAGCTGGCCGCTGATATTTTTCAGTCTGTTTGTTTTCTCCTCCAAAACATGTAAAACAAAAACAAGTGTATGAAACATGGCATTCAAGAACCATTTGGTGGTTTAGATCATCAATAATTTTGTATATAATCCCCCTTGTTTGGTATGTTACACTTCGTATCCGATTTAGTATTTGAAAGTTTAGAATTCGAGCTCAAAAAATCAAGAATTCATGAATCTGAATTTTTTTAATGAATTGCTGATGTATCGTTATGGTAAAAAAAAAAAAAAACAAAGCTCCGAAACCTGATTGACTTTCAGCATTTGGTCGAGTTAAGCATCGATTCTTGTTGTCTAAAGAGACATAAACCTCTCAATTCATGAGCATGATTCCTGTTGTCAGTGTCACGCGTCCGGCTTGGGATATAAAAGGACGATCGTACCCTCAAAAGAGCCACCATCAGTAACGAACACAGACCAAGAGCATCGCTGACTTTTCCTTGATTTCCGAAATACATCCTCCGTTGGTCAACTTTTTGTGTATAGGAGACTAGGAGTTATTTCTTTCTTTTTTAAAAAAAAAAAAAACAAACAAATATCAAAGAAAACAGAGCATGCTGTGATGAGAAGCCTTAATTCCTACATAGTCTCTTATAATGTCATTTCCTTGACAGAGAATTTTAAAGATTGGCGAAGACCAAGTTCAAATGGTGACCAATGTCCACTACTCTTTTTTAACTACGAAATGGTTTTTCTATTCAATAATAATAAAAAATACATAATGAAGCATATAAATAGTCAGAATATTTAACATTTATTCACATTTTGAAAATTCCTTGCAACTACCAACCGTCGTAATCTTTGAATTCAAAAAACAAAACAAAAATTCACTGTCAAACGTGAACTTGTTGGGATATTGAGCGTACTAGAACTTCCTCCTTGCATTACATATATTGACATGGTCCTGTTTGTGTAGCTGGATTGGAAAAGTGTCTGCGGAAACAAGTAAAAAGAGAAACATCGTAAGACTGACTTGAGGTTTATCTCATATAAGAAAACACACCTCAAGGACATGAGAGAAAACCCAAGAAAGAAGAGAGAGAGAAGATGAACAAGGTGCAGGGTCTGTTCTTTGTGGCAATGTTCTCACTTGCATATAGTCAGCTGATCAAAGGGAAATCATTGCCTGGTTGCACAGATAGATGCGGCAACATCACAGTCGAGTACCCTTTTGGAATCTCTCCAGGTTGTTACTATCCCGGAGATAACAGCTTCAAAATCACCTGTAACGAAACAAACAAGCTGATCTTTGGCGGCAATGAAGTGATCAACATCTCTCTCAGTGGCGAGCTACGCGTCTTGAATACCAGATCCTACGTTTGCTACAACATTCAAGGGAATCAGATCAGCCGCCAAAACCGGTGGTCGAGGCTGGGAAATTTAACATTCTCCGACAAGAACAGGTTTACTGCAGTAGGATGTAACACTTACGCGTTTCTCAACACAAACGGCGTTGGGAATTACTCAACTGGATGCATGTCAACATGTAATTCTCCCAGAGAGACAAACGGATCATGTTCTGGTGGAGGTTGCTGCCAGACTTCTGTACCTAGAGGGAGCAATTACTTCAGAGTCAGCCCATATAGCTTTTCCAACCATACCTCTGTGCATAGCTTCAACCCTTGCAGCTACGCCTTTCTAGTCGAAGACGGTGTGTTTAACTTCAGTTCTACAGAAGATCTTATGAATCTGCGGAATATCACGAGGTTCCCTGTGGTTTTGGATTGGTCTATTGGTAAAGAGTCATGCGAGCAAGCTGGAAACGCAAGCATATGCCGTGGGAATAGCGTTTGTTCCGATTCTGTTCGTGGAACCGGATATATCTGCAAATGTAAGAAAGGGTTTGATGGGAATCCTTACCTTTCAAACGAAAACGGTTGCCAAGGTACTTTACATTGTTTTTCTTTTGCCTTCTTTCTTCTTTTGAGAGTTCATTGTTTTTCTAATACTACATTCCTTGCTGAATCTTGCGCTCTGTTTCGTTTTGCCAGACATCAATGAGTGTAATACTACTAGTACTATCCATAGACATAACTGTTCAGGTTCCAGCACCTGTGAAAACACGATAGGAAACTTCCTTTGTAATTGCCCATCTGGTTACAACTTAAATTCCACGACCAATAGCTGCACTCGTAAAGGGAGGCCTGAATACTATGGATGGACTCGGATTTTTCTTGGTAAGCTTCCCTCACTCGTTCTGGATTCTTTCTTTTCTGCAGGAAAATAAAACTCACTATAATCATCTGTGTGTGATGTGACCAGGAACCACTATCGGCTTCTTGGCCATCCTGCTTGTCGTTAGCTGTATACAACAAAAGATGAAGCACCAGAAGGACACCAAACTCCGACAACAATTCTTCCAGCAAAACGGTGGTGGGATGTTGATACAGAGACTCTCAAGAGAAGGGTCATCAAATGTTAATGTCCAAATCTTTACTGAGGAAGGCATGAAGACAGCAACCAATGGTTATGACGAGAGCAGAATCCTGGGCCAGGGAGGCCAAGGAACAGTTTACAAAGGTATATTACCAGACAACTCCATAGTTGCTATAAAGAAGGCTCTGCTTGGAGACCGTAGCCAAGTCGAGCAGTTCATCAACGAAGTCCTAGTGCTTTCACAAATCAACCATAGGAACGTGGTCAAGCTCTTGGGCTGTTGTCTAGAGACTGAAGTTCCTTTTTTGGTCTATGAGTTCATCACCAGTGGGACCCTTTTTGATCACTTGCACAGTTCCTTGTTTGATGCTTCTCTTACATGGGAACACCGCCTGAGGATAGCAATAGAAGTCGCTGGAACTCTCGCATATCTTCACTCCTCTGCTTCTATTCCAATCATCCACCGCGATGTCAAGACTGCTAACATTCTGCTGGATGAAAATTTAACTGCAAAAGTAGCCGACTTTGGTGCTTCAAGGCTGATACCGAGGGATAAAGAGGAGCTCACAACTATGGTGCAAGGAACCCTAGGCTACTTAGACCCAGAGTACTACAACACGGGGCTGCTAAACGAAAAGAGTGACGTTTACAGCTTTGGGGTAGTCCTCATGGAGCTTCTCTCAGGTCAAAAGGCATTGTGCTTTGAAAGGCCACAGCATTCAAAACATCTGGTGAGTTACTTTACTTGTGCCAAAAGAGAGAATAGATTGCATGAGATTATCGATGAGCAAGTGATGAACGAGGATAATCAGAGGGAGATCCAGGAAGCTGCAAGAGTTGCTGTTGAATGTACAAGATTGACGGGAGAGGAAAGGCCAAGGATGAAGGAAGTCGCTGCAGTTCTTGAAGGCTTGATAGCCACAAAAACCAAACATCAGTGGTCGGATCAGTATCCTGAGCCAATGGAGTTTGAACACTTGCTCGGTGTTGAAATCTTATCAGCACAAGGCGAAACCAGTAGCACTGGCTATGACAGCATCAAGAATGTAGCAAGGTTGGACATCGAAGCTGGTCGCTGATATTTTTTAGTCCACAGCTCACTAGATGCTTTGACAGTTGTCTACATTTTGTTTTCTCATCCAAAACATGTAAGAAACAGTGTATGGAACATGGCATTCAAGAACTGTTAGTGTTTTTTTATCATCAGTCATTTTGTATATCAAGAATTCATAAATTTAGTATTTGAAACTTTAGAGTTCTTATTCAAAATCAAGAATTCTTAAATTTGATTCAGTTAAATATGAGTTTATGGTCAAAAATAATAACAACAACTCAAAAGAAGAAACCCTAGAATCTAAAGAAGCATGAAAAGAAAACAGAGCTCAGAAACCTGATTGACCTTGAGCATTTGGTCGAGTTCAGCATCGATTCTTCTGGTTTCTGAGCAGAGGCTTCCTAAAGACACATAAGAGGATTCAAGAGAATGATTCGTGTTCTCACACTGCTTGGGCCGGTGGTAAACTTTTGTGTATAGGAGTTGTATGTTTTTGTTCCAAAAAAATAGAAATAGAGCGATCGATAAAAAATAAATAAACAGAGCATGCAGTGATCAGGAGCCCTATTCCTACATTTTCACGAGCAATGTCATTTCTAATTTTGAAGATTGGCGAAGACGGAGTTCAAATGGTTGACCAGTGTCCACTACTCTTTCAAAATTGAGAAATGGTTTTTCTATCCAATATTAATATAATTAATCAAGGCCCTTTAACAAAGAAAACAAATAATTTAATCACATTTTGAAGATTCCTTGCAGCTACCAACTGTCGTAGTCTGTGAATACAACCCAAAAAAAAAAACAAACAAAATAGGAGTCACTTTCAAACGTAGACGTTGGGTTGGGATATGGAGGGCACTAGAACATCGTCCTCCTTGGCCCCTTGCATTAAATTGACATGGTCCTGTTTGTGTAGCTGGATTGGAAAAGTGTCTGCGGAAACGAGTGAAAAGATAAACATCTCAAGACTGACTTGAGATTTATCTCCTATAAGAAAACTGTGACATCCCTACCCGCCCTTCCTCTGGGGATCAGGCGCGGATCGGTGATATCAATCCTAACTCCCCCCAACCGTTCCTCTCAGTGAGCCCAACGCCCTTTCTAGGCCCGTGGGCTCAACGTCCTCTCTCTAGGCCCATTGGCCCACCACTGTCCGACGGTCGAGAGTCGTTAGTCTGGAAGGCTCGTAAGATTGTATACTGTCCCTGCAATCACCACATGATCTTTCTCCGTGCTTTGTCCTCACTCGCACAGTACCGCAGAGTACTTCCCGGTAGGTCACCCATTCTGAGACTACTCCAGCATCAGCACGTTTAACTCTGGAGTTCTCTCAGCACACTTGACCGGAAAAGATAAGTGCACTTAGTTGACATAGGTAGCCAAATCAATTCTTATAAGAATTTCCATATACCGGAAATCGGGATGTTACAATTTTCCCCGACTTCCAATGAATTCGTCCCCGAATTCTCCCTTTACCCCCACAGTGCTTGCACCAGGATCGTTCACCCTGTTACGGTGTGAGGCCACATGACGACTCCACACACGAGGTTGGGTGTCGGCTCTGATACCACTTGTGACATCCCGACCCGCCCTTCCTCTGGGGACCAGGCGCGGACCGGCGATATCAATCCTAACTCCCCCCAACCGTCCCTCCCAGTGAACCCAACGCCCTCTCTAGGCCCGTGGGCCCAACGTCCTCTCTCTAGGCCCGTTGGCCCAACCTCCTCTCTAGGCCCGTTGGCCCACCACTGTCCGATGGTCGGGAGTCGTTAGTTCGGAAGGCTCGTAAGATTGTATATTGTCCCTGCAATCACCACATGATCCTTACTCGCACAGTACCGCAGAGTACTTCCCGGTAGGTCACCATCCTGAGACTACTCCAGCATCAGCACGCTTAACTCTGAAGTTCTCTCAGCACACTTAACCGGAAAAGATAAGTGCACTTTATTGACATAGGTAGCCAAATCAATTCTTATAAGCCTTTCTATATACCGGAAATCGGGATATTACAAAAACACACCTCAAGGAGATGAAAGAAAATTTGGAGTTCTTGAATCTGATTCCATAAGACAATGATATACCACTGTCGCTACAAAAAGGAAAAAAAAAAAATCCAAGAAGAACTGTTAAACGTGAGCAAATGTTTTAGTAATAGATAATTTAGAGTTAGAAATATCCTAAATGGGGAAAAACCACATATGTGATCTATATCATCATAATGGGGAAAAACATCTCGTAAAGTAACACTACAAAAAAATTCATAAAAAGCATCCAAGGATCTCAGAGAATTAATTTGCTTGGTATTCAAGAAAAGTAAGAGATGAGAGAGATTGGAGTTAAATTTGGAGAATGAAAGTATGAAACTTGAGAATGATCGGATGGGGTTGGACTTGAAACAAAGGGAATCGGGTGTTGATTTGTAAACAGAAATGGCTTTACTTGGTATACATAGCTTTGTGAACTAAGACTCATTTTCTGCTCTTGTAAGCTTGCTTTGATTGAAATGATATCGAGACTGATGAAGGTTGAGAATTTAGTGAGGAAGGAGCGGTTATTACTCTCTAAGGCTTGCTTTAACTTAACCTAATCTTAAGGCTTAAAGTAATCAACTAGTGAAGGTTATTTTTCATCATTCTGTTTTATTATATAATTAACATCTTAATCTATCTTTCAGAATATAACAAATATTCATTTTTTATTTCAAAACCATGGATTGTTCCATTCAAATCTTTCCTTTTCTAAAATTTAAGAATAAAGGTGTTGCTTACTAGATACTTGGAACTTTTTTGAATCTTTTGCAAAAGGGACCTTAATTTACTGTATTTTGAACCGTCAATGAAAGAGACTCCTGAATTATCAGAAACTTCATATTTCAGTAATAAATTATTTTGAAGAGGAAATTACTAAGAAACAGAGTAAATTTGCCTCGAAATATCAAGGGAAGAAGATAGGACAGTGAATGAAGTTGACGAAGAGAGTGAGTTCCAATGGTTGACCAATGTCCACCACTCTTTCTTAAGAGTGAAATGGTTTACTATCCACCGACAATATCTTAAGGTTATAGTCTGAATCTTTACCACTCCTTCGAATTTGAATATTCTTTGCAACCACACCAACAGTAGCAATCTTTGAATACTACCAAAAATAAGAGTAACTATTAAACCGAACCAAACGTAAACGTTGGGATATTTTCTGGGTATATGGGGCATACTTGAACGTCTTTCTTGCGTTACATTGACATGGTCTTGTTTGTGTAGCTGGATTGGAACGAGAGAGTAAAGACAACATCTCAAGACCTAGACTTAGTAATCATCATTACCTATAAGAAAAATTCTCAAGGAGATGAGAGAGAACTCAAAAGAAGAACAAAGTTAGAGAGAGAGGAGAGAAAGGTAAAAGATGAAGTTACAGAGTCTGATCTTGGCGGCTATTTTCTTCAACCTTGCATGTACGCAGATGGTTAAGGGGCAACCACGCAAGGATTGCCAAACTAGATGTGGCAACATCACAATCGAGTACCCTTTCGGCATTTCTACAGGTTGTTACTATGCCGAAGATCGAAGTTTCAGTCTCACATGTAACGAGGAAGGGAAGCTATTCTTTGGCAACATGCACGTAACCAACATTTCTCACAACGGCCAGCTGCGTGTCCAGTTTAATAGGTCTTACACTTGCTACGACAGACAAGGAAAGTTGAGTGTTGAGATATACTACAATTATACGCTGGCTAACTTATCTGTCGCCACCAACAACAAGTTTACTTTGGTAGGTTGTAACGCTTATGCACTTCTGACCACTTTTGGTGACCAAAGTTACTCTACTGGATGCATGTCATTATGCAATTCTCGCCCGGCACCAACTAGAGTATGTAATGGTCAAGGTTGCTGCGAGACGTCTATCCCTTTGGATAAGGAAGTATTCAGAACTAGATCGTTGAAATTCAGAACAAGTTCTAAACGCTTCGCCATGACGACTTCTGTGTTGTATGACTTTAATCCTTGCACCTACGCCTTTCTTGTTGAGGATGGTAAGTTTAACTTCAGTTCTACAGAAGATCTTCGGAATCTGCGGAATGTCACGGACTTCCCTGTGGTACTAGACTGGTCTATTGGAAATCAGACATGCGAGCAAGTTGTAGGCAGGCGCATATGCGGTGAGAACACCGAGTGTTTCAATTCTACTCGTGGAATCGGATATCAATGTAGATGTACAGAAGGTTTTGAGGGGAATCCCTACCTTCCAGACGGTTGCAAAGGTAACTTGCAAATTGTATTCTTTCTTCTTCTGAGAGTTGATTGTTTTCCTCATATATACATATCTCGTTGTGCGCTGCCAGATATCGATGAATGTACTCATACTATCCGAGGACATAATTGTTCGGATCACAGCACCTGTGAGAACATCCCTGGAAGCTTTCTTTGTAATTGCAAATCTGGTTACGACTTAGATACCACCACTAATATCTGCATGCCAAAAGACCGGCCTGAATACTATAAATGGACTCAAATTGTTCTTGGTAATCTTTCTTTCATTCATTCTGGATTCTATATTTCTTGAAACAGCTCAGCTCCATATATTTATACTTTTTTTGTAATGTGACCAGGAACCACCATCGGCTTCTTGGCCATCCTGCTTGTTGTTGGCTGTATACAACAGAGGATGAAGCAACGGAACGACACCAGACTCCGACAACAATTCTTCGAGCAAAACGGCGGTGGTATGTTGATACAGAGACTCTCAGGAGCAGGGTCCTCAAACGTTGATGTCCAAATCTTCACTGAGAAAGGCATGAAGGAAGCAACCAATGGTTATGACGACAGCAGAATCCTGGGCCAGGGAGGCCAAGGAACTGTCTACAAAGGGATATTACCAGACAACTCCATAGTTGCTATAAAGAAGGCTCGCCTTGGAGACTGTAGCCAAGTAGAGCAGTTCATCAACGAAGTGCTCGTGCTTTCAAAAATCAACCATAGGAATGTGGTCAAGCTCTTGGGCTGCTGTCTAGAGACTGAAGTTCCCTTTTTGGTCTATGAGTTCATCGCCAGTGGCACCCTTTTTGATCACTTGCACGGTTCCATGTTTGATTCCTCCTTTACATGGGAACATCGCCTGAGGATAGCAATAGAAGTCGCTGGAACTCTCGCATATCTTCATTCCTCTGCTTCTATTCCAATCATCCACCGCGATGTCAAGACTGCTAACATTCTCCTGGATGAAAACTTGACTGCAAAAGTAGCCGACTTTGGGGCTTCAAGACTGATACCGATGGATAAAGAGCAGCTCACAACTATGGTGCAAGGAACTCTAGGCTACTTAGACCCAGAATACTACCACACGGGGTCGCTGAACGAAAAAAGCGATGTCTATAGCTTTGGGGTAGTCCTCATGGAACTGATCTCCGGTCAAAAGGCATTGTGCTTTGAAAGGCCACAGTACTCAAAACATCTGGTCAGTTACTTTGCTTCTGCCACAAAAGAGAATAGGTTGCACGAGGTTATTGATGGGCAAGTGATGAACGAGGGTAATCAGAGAGAGATCCAGGAAGCTGCAAGAGTTGCTGTTGAGTGTACAAGATTGACGGGGGAGGAAAGGCCAAGGATGAAGGAAGTAGCTGCAGTTCTTGAGGGCTTGGTAGCCACTAAAACCAAACATCAGTGGTCGGATCAGTATCCTGAGACAAAGGAAAGTAATTACTTGCTCGGTGTTGAAATCTTATCAGCACAAGGAGAAACTAGTAGCACTGGCTATGACAGCATCAAGAATGTAGCAATACTGGGACATCGAAGCTGGCCGCTGATATTTGTCTGAAAAAAATCACAGGTATGTCTTTGTTTGTGAAAGTATAAAGTCATTTCTATATTGCTTTCTCTCCTCTTTTGTCCTCGTAAAATCCAGTGTATCAAAACATATACATTCAAGAATATTTATGCTTCGAGAGATTTATGTAGACCATCAATATTAATAATTCCCCTGAATTAATCTTGTTCCATGTAACATTGAGAATGAAATACCATATAGTTACAAAAGCAAGTAAAGAAGAAACACAAGGATTTAAAGATATCATACAAAGAAAATACAGAGAATGTGATGATCATTGAACCTGACATTCTTCAGCATCTGGTCGAGTTCATCGTCGATTCTGCTTGGGCAACCAGAGCATAAGCTTGGTCAAGAGACGGAGGAGAATTCATAAGCATGACTTTCGTTCTCACATAGCTTAGATCATTGTTCAAACCCATCAGAAATGCGTAACGCTGCTCCTTCTCTCTCGCCTCTTGAGCTCCTTCCGGCAAGGGATCATACTCGGAAAGTTCCAGCCAAGCTCTCCTCAGCTTCCCGAAATAACTCGCCACCGAGTCACCATCTTGCCTCAGCATCGCGATTCTCTGACGAAGCTGGTAGATCTTGAAATCCACGCTCGGGACGAATATCATTCGAAATTCCTCCCATGCTTTATGAGCCGTCTCGGCGAAACGCACATAGTCTTGAAGGTTTTCGCTCACCGAATTCATCAGCCAACACTTAACCCTAGCGTTGCAGATTACCCATGGTTGATAGAGCGGCGAGGAAGGATCCGGTTTCTCGACGGAACCGTCGACGAACCCGGTTTTGTTCTTGCTTACGAGGAATTCGAGAAAATGATTCTTCCAGATGAAGTAGTTGTCGTCGGCTTGGCTGAGTATAACCATAGGGAGATTCTCTTCGGCTTGATAATCTGGATCGATATGGTAGGGAGATCTGGGATCGAGTGCGGGAGATAGGCTCATACTTTCCGCCATTGACACTGCTCTCTGAGCTTCGTTACTGTTTGATTTCTACTTTCTAGGGATTGCTTTTTATTATCCCGCTAATACATTGAATTATATATTCCAAGAATTTCTTTTGATTTTGATTTTGATTTATGAGTTTAACTGGGCCTTTGATTTCTACTTCTGAGCCCAAACTTTTGAGGACTATGTATGAGACCATCTCACCTGTTTTTCACCTCAAGTGGCCATATGATTTCTTTTGTATTGGTTGTTTTACTCACAAAAGGTAAATGGCTGTTTGTTATGTTATGTTTGGAAGCTGCTGGAAATTGCATGTCAGTTTCATATTCTCTTGTTCTCTATGTTTTTTTTTATTCTTATTCAAAGGTAATAACAGGGAAACATTTAGAACTTCAAGAAATTTTGAAAGATATGAAGTGAAGTAGATGGAGAAAGATGAGATGTATTAACTGATTTTTTTTTTTCATTTCACATCTTACGCAACATCTCCTAATACATATATTTAGATGAAATCAGTGAAATAGTCTAAATCGTGGACTTCTTATAATCTTATTACCTACGACATTTAACCCAAAAAACAAAAAAAAATTGACCCCCAAAATAACTACCTACACTAGGCATAATTATTTCTAGTTCAAGAAAACATATCATGTTTTGTTACATACTTAACATTTCTAAAATTATTCCTTCATCAGAACACTACCGAAGATTACTCTGATTATGTAATCATGTTTCATCACATCGAATCTCTGAATTTGTTTTTTTTTCTTAAACAATATAATTTTTAGGCTGTTTTTTCTCAGACTAATAAAATTTATATATAACTCAAATCCCACTAATAGTTGTTTGCAGTGCGATTAATAATTTAGCATCCATTTGATAATCATTTTAAATATGATTTTATTAACTATAAATATTTTTATTCTAACAAAAAGGAGTAACCAAATATCAGTGATCCGTAGCATGAGCGATGAGCCAGATATTGTGCATCTTGAACCCTATATTCAGAACTAATATTAAGAATTAATGTGGGTATTTTGACTAAACTAAAGTGATATGATGGTTTTGGTTTTCCTGGTTAATTCCTATCTAGAACTAATGATTCACTACGCAAATGCAATAAGCGACACGATTGCAATAGTAAGCAAACAACTGATGAGGGATATATATATATTCTTTCACGGTGAGAAAAAATTTCACAACATTTAGTAAACCCTTAGGCTTATATGGACTATGAATTTCATGTCCTGAGCCCAAAGTAGAAGTCTTGGTTGTTTTGTAGAAGTCATCTCAAACAATATTATGGATGGAGTTAATAACAAACCCGCGGGTTTACATTGAGAGATCCAAAACTTCATTCTCTGTCGATACATGGAAACAATGAGACCCAATGAAAAGCGGTGAATGAAACTGGGGGATTTGTTCGTCCCGATCGAGGATCTGTTCGTTTGCTTGCCGCAGGAGGCTGCGGCTGCGGCTTGCGTCCGATTGTTGTTCGTTACTCTGACGCAGCTTCCTGCGGCCAGATGCGGTGTCCAAACGCTGCGTTCTGCGTCGTTGATCAAATCCAGTGTTGCGACAAAACACACAGCGTTTAAAATTGTAAATTACAAAACTAACCTTATAACAATTTGTTAATTACAAAAAATATTTACTCTAAAAAAAAGTGTCGAGATCTTTCTCTCTACGCTGAAACTCTTCTTCCCCATTCATCTTCTCCATCTTCTCCATCAGCTGAGCTTAAAAGTTTAATGGATCGGGAGCATAAGCGGCGTTAAACCCACCTTCCAAACTCCATCAATCCTCTTCTTTCTTCCCAGGTCGAATCTGTAAATATAATCTGATTGACTTTTGGAAATGAGAATGTGTTATTGAGTTTTTAGTGTCGGAGAAAGTTCGATCTCGTTGCTAGGTTCTTTTGTAGCTCACGGGTTTTTGATAGATTCGTCTGCTTTAGAATATAAGTGTATTAAACGTGATCATCAAAGATCGATAAACCCAGAATCAAAGTAAGAGAGAAAGTTCATCAGAGGAAAGTTTGTTATTAGCTTCGTTAATTTGTACAATTAGTTTAACGTTCACTTATATACAGAGTACTAAACCAAGCTACATTCAGCTTAAGTTAAACCAAACTTAACCGAAGTAAACCATATCATAATACGCCCCCCTCAAGTCTTTAGCTTCGTAGAATCCTGAAGATAAAGGCTTGATATTGACATCTTGTTCAATAATGAGTAGAAGTGACCAGGATGAAGAGGTTTAGTAAGAATATCAGCATGTTGATTTCCAGTAGGAACATGCAAAGCCTTCAGTTTCCCTGCTTTGATCTGATCACGAACAGTATGACAATCTATATCAATGTGTTTTGTCCGCTCGTGAAATACTGGATTGGAAGCTATATGAATCGCAGATTTGTTATCGCAGAATAGGTTTGCTGGACAAGTCATCGTAATATGCAAGTCCCGAAGTAACTGCTGGATCCATATAAGCTCACAAGTCGCCAAAGCTAGACTCCGATACTCAGCTTCAGTGCTGCTTCTACTAACCACTGATTGTTTCTTTGATTTCCAAGAAATCAAAGAGGTACCAAGATAAACACAAAAACCTGTAACAGATCGTCTTGTGTCTTTGCAAGTGGCCCAATCAGCATCCGCAAATCCATTCAAACAAAGTTCAGAGTCAGATGCATACATTAAACCTTGTCCTGGATTGCCTTTGATGTATCGGAAAACCTTGTGTGCAGCCTGCAAATGAATATCAGTTAGAGCAGATAAGAACTGGCTCAGTTGATGCACAGCAAAGGTAATATCAGGCCTGGTTATAGTGAGATACAATAACCGACCAATAAGCTCTCTGTAGGAGGTAGGATTAGGCAATGGAGTTCCCAGATCCTTCGTAAGATGTAAAGATGGATCCATAGGTACTGAACTCGGTTTACAACCTAGTAAACCAGCTTCCTCGAGGAGATTCAAGGCATACTTCCTTTGACAAACAGAGATACCAGTCGATAATCGAGAAATTTCCAAACCAAGAAAGAACCGAGCTGGACCAAGATCTTTGATTTGGAATTCTGATCTAAGCAACCGCTTCAAATCCTCAACAGCCACATCATTATTGCTGGCAATCATTATATCATCTACGTAGACCAAGACAGCAATAAAGCATGAAGATGTGACCTTGACAAAAAGTGTATTATCGGCTGTGACTGAATGTAATTCGCTCCCAATAAAACTGAAGAAAAACGTTTATACCACTGTCTTGACGCTTGTTTAAGCCCATAAAGTGACTTCAGCAAACGACAAACCGGATTTGGTGGGAGAGGACGATCTGAAGCAGGAGTGTAGCCTTGTGGAAGACTCATGAAGATCTCCTCATCCAAATCGCCATGTAAAAAGGCATTGGAGACATCCATTTGAGTAAGACTCCAACCCTGTATAGCAGCGAGACCCAACAAAAGTTTAACACTCGTTAGTTTTGCAACCGGTGAGAAGGTATCCATGTAATCGATGCCTTCTTGTTGTGTAAAGCCTTGAGCGACCAATCTCGCTTTATATCTTTTCACCGTGCCATCAGGATTATACTTAATGGTAAAAACCCATTTACATCCAACAACATTCTTCCCAGCTAGTAAAGATTCCACATTCCATGTACCTTTATCCTCCAAAGCATGCAACTCAACATTAACAGCTTTTGTCCATTTTTCAGATGCCATGGCTTGTTTAAAAGTCTTCGGTTCTGTTTCTAAGGTATAGGCAAGGATATAGGACTGAACAGTGGGAGTGAATTTATCATAAGATATAACAGAAGAAAGGGGATATGGAGTACTAGAGGTATTAGTAGGAGAAGGATCAGTAGAAGAAGAGAAAGGAACCAAGTTACAATGATACTCAGTCAGATAACTAGGAGCCCTAGTAGTTCGTTTAGGCCTAGCAACATTTACAGAACTAGTACCTATCTCTTGTGTAACTGGAACAGATGAATGAGTACTCGAGTTATCAACATTCGGTTGTGATGAAACAGATGAATATTCTGATGATGATGGAAATGAATGCGGCATAGTTTCAACAAAATGCAATGGTGCAGGAAGTGGTAAGATGGTGTTGGGAAACATATCAACTGCACGAGAAAGCAATTCACTAGTCTTGAAAGGAAACATGTGCTCATGAAAAACAACATTGCGAGATATGGATACAGAATGAGATTCTAAGTCCAACACTTTATATCCTTTATACCCAGATGGATATCCTAGAAAAACACAAGGTTTAGCCCTAGGTGAAAATTTATGGCGATCCTTTTGATTCGTAGAAACATAACAAAGACAGCCAAAACTCTTTAACAACGAGTAATCAGGTACCTTGTTTAACAGCAATTCAAGTGGAGTTTTGTGATTTAACAAAGGTGAAGGAATCCTATTTCTCAAGTAAACTGCTGTTAAAATACAGTCACTCCAATATTGTAAAGGCACATTAGATTGAAAAAGTAAAGATCGAGCAACATTAAGTAAATGCTGATGTTTCCTTTCAACCACTGAGTTTTGTTGTGGTGTATAAGCACAAGAAAAATAATGCACCATGCCACGATCCTTGACTAATTCAGAGAAAGCTAACTCAGGTGCATTATCTGACCGTATTGCTTTAACTTTTGTATGAAACTGAGTATCTATGAGGTTTAGAAATGCTGGGAAAACAGATGAAACATCACTTTTATTCTTTAGCATGTAAAGCCAAGTAACACGAGTACAATCATCAACTATGGTTAAAAAATATCTAAAACCCTCAATAGACTCAACACTAAAAGGACCCCACACATCAATGTGTATCAAATCAAACGGCTTGTTAGCCAAATTATTATGAGAGACAAATGCTAAACGCTTCTGTTTTGCCAAAGGGCATACAGAACAATGTAAGTTTTCAACAGAAACACTTCTAAAAACAGGTAAACTAGAAGAAAGTTTATGTAAAGCAGCTGCTGATGGATGGCCTAGACGCTGGTGCCAAAGATTTCCATCCGACAGTACTGAACCAAGAAACAATGTTGTAGGAGTTGATGACGAAGGGGCTTCACTCTCAAGAATGTAAAGGTTTTGGTAAACTTTACCCCTCCCAATCATCAAGACCCGAGAAAGTTCCTGAATGATGCAACAATCAGCAAAAAAATGATCTGAACAGAACAAAGTTCGAACCAAACAGCTGACACTAATCAAGTTAAATCGGAAATCAGGAACATGCAGGACATTATGCAATATTAAAGATGACGTGATATGAATGGTGCCTGTATGTGTTATTGGAACTCGAGTACCATTAGGTAATGTAACCGTGACACTAGAAACAGGTATGAGTTCCCTAAACATGGCTAGATCTGAACAAACATGGCTAGAGGCTCCACTATCTATTATCCAAGCATCACTAGGAAGAAATTTCTGAAGAGTGGAAAGGGAATGATTTTATAAAGTGAGATCATTATTCTCATAAGTAAGGCTAGTCATAGGAAAAGAAAGAGTACCCGATGTTGATGTTTTAGCCATGACACCATGTTCAGAAATGGAGGCATTCGATGAAGATGATGGAGTAACATCTTCTTGAGCATTAACATAACCACTGAACTGAGAGATCAAATGTTGAAGTTGCTGTGGTGTGTAATTCTGAAGAGCTTGACTATTTCCACCACTTGTAACAGTTGGAATATGTGGAGGCATCGGATAACCGTAGTTATAGTAACCAGCTTCAGTACACACATTAGCAATAGCATTGGTCTGCTGAAAAGTATTCGGTAAAGGAGCACTCTGCATTGGCATCCTTGGTTGTGATTGCATTGGCTGATTTGTCATCGGTTGCTGATATTGTGGCATCATCTGTGTCTGATACTGTTGTGGCATAGGTGGTGGTCTGAACTGAACATTATTCTTGAAGGAGTTATTCGTCTTATAACCAGGAGGGTAACCATGGATTTTAAAACACTTCTGCACAGTATGACCAGTCTTCCCACAATGTGTACAAACAGGTTTTGGAGCCACCTTGGTAGTATTATATGCAGCTATATACGCATTTTCTTCTGTAGTGTTTGCAGCTAACTCAGTAGAGGATGGAGCTAAAGCCTGAAATGCAACAGTATCCACTCGAGAAGTAGGCTTGATAGATCGTTGACGTTCATCTTGAGTTACGATATTGAAAGCTTCTTCAATAGTCGGAATCGGCTTTAACATCAGGATATGTCGTCGGATTTGCTCATAAGATTCATTCAATCCCATCAAAAATTTAGTAACCCGACTCCTCTCTGTCAACTTTTCCCATTTAGCTGCTGCATCACACTCACATTTTCCACAAGTGCATACAGGAAATTCTATATAGACTTTGTGTTCCTCCCACAAAGTAACCAATTCCGTATAATAGGTAGTAACATCCATAGAACCCTGCTCAATCTTGCTCAACCGTTGTTCAATATCATATATCCTAGGTGCATCATCTTGCTTAAACCTAGACTGCAAATTTTTCCAAATTCCTTCAGCAGTAGAGATGAATAACAAACTCTGTCCTATCTTCTTAGAGACCGAATTCATCAACCAAGTTGCAATCATATCATTACATCTAGACCAAGCACCATAATCGCGTTCCGTTTCCAAAGGTTTAGAAATCGTACCATCGATGAAACCAAGCTTATTTCGCACATTCAATGCCATTCGAACAGATCTTCTCCAAGAATGAAAATCCGATGCTGTTGTTAAGCGATCTGATACAAGAATTAACCCAGCATGATCATTGTTATGCAGATAATACGGATTCTCATATTGATCTGTCAAAAAACGCGAAGAATCAATCGCCGGTGAATTGTTCGAAGGATTTCGATTCGCCGCCATTATCAAATCAAGAAACGGATTGAATCAGAGAAATGTGTGTCGAGAATTGGAAGAAGAAAAGAAATCGAACACACAAAAGGTCAAATCAAAAAGAAAACAACAAATGCAGAATTAAGAAGCAAAGAATCGCTCCAAAGAAAGTTTCAGATATCATGAAGAACAATATCGAAACAAATCGAGAGAAAATTGAAATCGGAAAGCTCATCACAATGATTCTGGAGAAACGCGGAAGATCATATAAGCTCTGATACCATATTAAACGTGATCATCAAAGATCGATAAACCCAGAATCAAAGGAAGAGAGAAAGTTCATCAGAGGAAAGTTTGTTATTAGCTTCGTTAATTTGTACAATTAGTTTAACGTTCACTTATATACAGAGTACTAAACCAAGCTACATTCAGCTTAAGTTAAACCAAACTTAACCGAAGTAAACCATATCATAATAAAGTGTATCTCTGCATTTTTGTGCCTGCTCGATTTGCACACAATCTGTTTTTATTTTTTAAAGCTGAATGACAACTTAAAGGTACTTTTGTGTTATATTTTTTCTTCTTCTTCTCTATCCATGTTTTTGATTCAGTAATCGATTGAGACATGGCTGAAGTTTGTGCTCAAACTGGAAATAGGCAACTGGTGTTAATTTGCTTGCAAACCTGTCGATTTTTTTTTCTGAATTTGGAGCTTGGTGCTTATCTTTATGCAACGATAGCCATAGGATGGACAAGAGGAATATGAATGCGAGAGTACAAGGATAATTAGTGGAAAATGTGAATGTTGTTGCAAAGAATATTTCAGTTCAATGAGGTGGAATTCTATCGTGGGAAACAAAAGTCTTGGATTTGATCAACTTTAAAGCTTTAGTATAGAATCTCCATGGATATGCCTTAGAACTTATATATTTGTTTATATTCATGCAACAGGTGTGTTTACCGAGCTTATTCAGCAGATACAAGTCAAAGGAGTGCAGGTAATATTGGATATCTCTGTATTCTCAATTGCTCAACGTAAAAAGGATGAATCTTTTTGTTGCTTGTCCCTGCTAGTTAATGATTAGCACAATGTAGTTTGTCTTTTGCAGATTTTGATTTTGAGCAAGGATCAGAGATAAACAAGAATCATGGCTATTGATGTAAGTAATCTGTGCTTTATTTATTAGTTGATATTGTGACTGATTCTATGAATTGTTTTTTAGAATTGGACCGATGAGGAATGTCGGTATTTTTTCAATCTCTATGCGGAGGAGAAAAAAAAGGGAAACAAAACAAAGAATGGGATGAATCAAACCGGAAAAGACTTCATTATTAAGAAGTTTGAAGAGAGATTTAGGAGAGGATACCAATGAGAAAAATTCAAAAACAAGTATGATTCAAGTAAGAAATTATGGATCAAATTCAACAAGTTGACTCGCAATAGAACAGGATTGGGATATGATGAATATGGTAGCCGTAGTCGATTACTTTATTAGATATTTCAGTTTATGATTTTGTTTTTTTTGTTTCGTTTATGATTTGGTGTATTATTACGTATGTTTTGTTATATTTAATGACTTAATTTATGACTTGGTTTATTTTATTTTAATGATTTAGTTTATTTTTTTTGTTTTAGTAAATTGTATGATTTTATCACAAAGATTATAATGGTATAATTAGATTTGATTACAAAAATTATTACTATAATTGCTAACTAATTTTTTTTTATAAATGTAGAAACTATTTAAAGTATGCTTTTATTAAAATGTAAATGTACAAATTTATAAATAGTTAAAATTTTATTTAAATGAAAAATTTGGTAAAAAAAAAATCGACGCGCCGCTAGCAAACGAATAGCAAGTTTAACCGTGCAGCTGCAAAACGAACAAACTTGTGATTCGACGCGCGGCTGACAAACGAACAACAATCATCTGCGTCTGGTCGCAGCGTAGGTCGCAGCCGCGGCCGCAGGCGGCTGACAAACGAACAGGGCCTAATTTAACAACGGTATATGCTTCCTAATCCAAAACCAAAGAGCTTCGGAATCTAATCATGCACGGAAAGACAAAAGAGAGGTTACTTAAAATCTAATCATACAAAAGATGTGCTACTACTTAAAACGAAGATACTTATCACAATAATTGATCCAACTCTCATAAATTAGTGAATCCAGAAGGTTGAACCAACAAGTTTTTTTCTTTTTTAATCATACAAGAACATTCCTCTATGCCTCCTTTACAATGAAGAAAACGAAATACTTGTCACAGTTGTTAAGATTGTATAGACAGCCAAACTCTCTTCAACGTTGCTCGGTAATTAACATCGATCCAACTCTCAAAAACCATTGCCTTCATCTAAGCATTTTTTTTTTTATAAATTTCTTTTCCTATCCATTTGAATATAACAGAGATGTACCTTAAGATTTTGAGCAAGAGAAAATTTTTAAAATTTGTCAAAATACTTACTTTGTAAATATCAAAATGAACAGGTCGATTGTTGTTTGTACATTTTTTTGTAGATCAATCAAAACGCTAAAAAAAAAAAAAGCAAAAAAGCAACAAAGAGTGAAATGATCATCGACCTGTTTCTAGATAAGAGAGTGTTCAGGAGGTCCAGTTCACCAACAGAGAGTATGCCTGGTTAAAAGATGGAGGAGGTTTGATGAGCCTGATTCTCGTGGTAAATTTGCTTAATTCTCTGCCCTAACCCATAAGAAACCCGAAAAGCTGCTCCTTGTCTCTGGCCTCGTTGGCCCGTTTCACGACGTCGCACCGGCAACCGCCGCAGGCGCAGTCGGGAAATGGATCATACTCCGACAGCTCCTGCCAAGCCAAATGCACTCTCCTGAAATAAACGGCAAGCGAGCAAGCACCTTGGCTCGGCATGGCGATCCTCTCGCGAAGCTGGTGGATCTTCCAATCGACGTTCAAAGCATAGGCAAGAGAATTCGTGATAGTAATGTCATTGTTGGAACCAATCAGAAACCCGAAAATCTTCTCCTTGTCTCTGGCCTCTTTGGCACGTTTGGAGACGTCGCACCGGCAACCGCCGCACACACACTCCGGTACGGGATCATACTCCGACAGCTCCTGCCAAGCCAGATCCAGCTTCCCGAAATAAGTGGCGACCGAATCACCGCCTTGCCTCATCATCGCGATTCTCTGGCGAAGCTGGTAGATCTTCAATTCGGGGCTAGGGGCGAAAATCCGCCGGAAATCTACCCAGGCTTTATGCGCCGTCTCAGCGAAAAACACATAATATTGCAGCGGTTCGCTCACCGAATTCAGCAGCCAGCACGTGACCACCCCGTTACACTGTTTCCATGCGTCGTAGAGCGGCGAGGAAGGCTCGGGTCTCGCGACGGAGCCGTCCACGAACCCGGTTTTATTCCTCATTCCAAGGGATTCCAGAACATCTCTCTTCCAGATGAAGTAGTTGTCTTCCGCTTCGCTAAGTATTACCGTCGAGAGCTTGTTTTCCGGTTGAAATTCTGGATCCAGATAATAGGGAGATTCCGGATCGTGTGTGGGAGATTGCGTCGACATACTCACCGAGCTTTTTGTTGTGTTACTGTTTGTTCCCAATTTATTTAGCTTCTGTCAGAATTATCTGTCCGTTTTCATATTTAATCAGTTTTGGAGGGAACAAAAACGTTTTGAGTAGGTGTAGTATTACAAAAATAACCCGCTGCCAGTTTCTCTCCCTACAAAGAAAAATAGGTTTGATGTAATAAAATAAAGAAATTATAAATTGTGGAGATAATATCGGTGAAATAGGTAGCAGTTATAGGTCTCCACATAGGTCGCTGTGAACCACTCGTTTTTACCTCTCCCGACGCCTCATTAATTACCGTATCTAGAAGATATTGTGATGTATGTGACATACACATATATGCATGTATGTGCATGTATTAGGGTTTTTTACCCTCTATATAATAAGGTATCGTCCATCCACTTCATTTGTGCTACCAAGAAAGTAAACTAGAGAAAGAAATAGATAAAATTGTCGTGTAGTTTGAAAAGGCAGAAACAGAGCAACCGTTGACGAGGTTAAAGGTAAGTAAAGAATTACTGACGGACCTTCAATTTATTCCTTTTGTAGTATACCCTATCAACCTCGTATGCTATAAATGGTAACACACGTTTAATGCGCCATAAATGTAGTGCTGGAATGTTTGAGACATAAATTTGATAGTAAATCCAACATATATGGTAGACGTATATAGATCTTAGTAACTAATATGTTGATTTATGCTGCAGATGGTAGGTAAACTTGTTATGCTGATTCGAGGAGTTTGGGAGAAGACTGCTGCGGATACATGGAGCTTCCGAGTTGACAACAGTGGAGAGCACTATAGCATCATGGTGCAGGAGAACGAAAGCTTCGGCAGTCTGATGAACAGTGTTCGCGTTCAGTTGGCGGTCGATGGTCGGACCGATGTGAGCTTAACATATCAGTTTCCAGACTGGATGCTGGTCCCACGTGGTCCAGCGACGCCCCCTGTTGACATAACCTGCAACGCCGACATCGAGGTCTTCATGGCGGTGAGGATGGAAGTTGCTGAGTTACCGATGTTTGTGACAGTGGGAAACGAGGCTGTTAGCCTCTACAAGTTTCGGAAGCGAGCTAACTTTGACGTTGGAGGTCATTCCAGGACTGTACCCCAGGTGGCGCCGGAGATCCAGTTTGGAAGCCTTGATTACCGCCGTAAGTGGCTACTGATTTATACGCGCAATTTTTTTTGAGTATCTCGAGTAAAGTATATACTGGTGTTTTGCAGATGTGTTGTCAAGGCAGTGGATTGCCTGTAGCCAAAGCGTGTTGGACGAAATTTGCACTGCTGAGGAGCTGGATATTGTGAAGAAGTCAGCTGCCGAAGTCCACGAACAACTAGCCCGTGCGGGATATGGAGTTCCCACAGTAACCCAAGTGGCTGAAGCGCAAGTGTCTGCAAGTTCGAGCAACGTACCAAACACAAACCAACCAGCGAGCGAAGGCATAATAAGGTTAGCCGATGACGAAGACGTCCAGACAAGACCTGAATGCTTTAATGATGCACTGGCAAACTTGGCGCTAATGACCCCAGTGAAAGGTGACGGTTTTTTTGTGGTTTGTTGTTAACAAAGAGTTTACAATAACTTTAAGTATGAGAATGTGAAATGGTTTTAATTTACGGCGCAGCTACTGCGGTTTGTACGCCTGGCATTTGACGCCAACAACACTGCGGTTCAGTGGAAGCAAAGATAAAGGGAAGGAGACAGTTAAGAGCTGGAAGAGTACTTCGACACTTGGCCTGACTTTAGCGTGTCCTTCCTCGGGGGACAGTGAAGACATGACGGAGGAAGCCGAAGATGAAGACATCGTTGAAGAACAACTGTTCGTAGGTAAAGTTACAGATCTATGTTATACAAGTATTTGTAGGTTAACGTCTGCGATAACGAGATATTTGTGGATGTAACGCGAAACATAAGTTGTAATCCATGGTCATATATGTAGACATAGACATAAACGAGCAAATGCTGAAACCAATATTTTTCAGGAGACGGGCTGAGCAGGACAGAGGATGTGTTCGTGGGTATGATGTTCAAGAACCGAGAGGCATTTAAGTTGCACATGGCGATGTATGCGTTGCACCATAAGTTCCGATTCACAAATAAGAAATCAACCCCAAACGTAATGGTGCTTGAGTGTATAGGGCAGAACTGCCCCTGGAGAGTCTACGCCGTGAAAATGAGTAAATCTGAATGGTACCAAGTGAAGCGAGTTAAAGGTGAGCATCTGTGCACGGTTGATGAGAGGGGTAAATTCCAAAAACATGCAACTTCAAACGTGATAGGGGACATGATGCGGGCCAGATACGCAGGTCGAGGTGGAGGACCCAAGCCGAGTGAAGTGCGAGAAGCCATGAGAGCAGACCATGACGTTCCCATATCGTATTGGAAGGTAACATTTGTTTTACATGAATAAGTTTATGGTACCGAAGTGAATAAATAGTTAGACCATAAATAATTTAGAATCAGGCATGGCGATCTCGACAGGTGGCGATGGATTACGCTAAAGGAACGAGCGGTGGGTCGTACAAGCTATTGCCGTCGTATCTGCAACAATTGGTGATCGCAAACCCTGGATCGTTGATAAGTCTAGAGACCTGTATGGAAGAAGGATTCGGGCAACGATTCAAATATTTGTTCTATGCCATAGGAGCTTGTGTGGAGGGGTTCAAGTATATGCGGAATGTGATTGTCGTCGATGGAACACATCTGAAAGGGAATTACGCAGGTTGTTTGCTAACTGTGAGTGCCCAAGATGGGAACTATCAAATATACCCATTGGCCTTCGCAGTAGTTGATGGCGAGAATGACAATGCTTGGACGTGGTTCTTCAACAACCTGCTGAACATCGTTCCAGATGGAGATGATGTAGTATTCGTGTCAGACAGGCATAATTCTATTAATGCCGCGCTTACAAAGGTTAGTCGTTATTTTAAGATGTGGTTGTTATAAATATGTAGATATGTTACGTTTAGTTGTATACGTGTAACATTTTATGTAACTGTGTTATGCAGGTGTATCCAAGATCGCGACATGGGGTGTGTGTCGTCCATCTGCAGCGGAATGTTCAGGCAATATCCAAGAAGAGGCACCTCGGGTATCTCATTTCAAAAGCCGCGAGGGCTTTTCATGTGGCCGATTTCAACAGACATTTCAACGAAATCATTGCAATTGACAGAGAATGTGCAGAGTACCTCGCCGGAGTGGGATTTGAGCAATGGACACGTTCGCATTTCACCGGTGTTAGGTACAATGTGATGACCAGTAATATTGCTGAATCCTTGAACGCTGCACTGGCGGAAGCCCGTGGGTATCCCATTATACCCCTTCTGGAGCACATACGGGGAACATTGATGAAATGGTTCGACAAAAGGAGAGAAGCTGCAAACAATGAAACAAACGGCCTAACGAAAAGGGTGCAAGGGATTGTGGCTGTGAATTTCGAGATGGGTATCGGTTATGCGGTCAACCGTATCAATGAAAGTGAGTTTGAAGTGACGGACAAAAGAGGTTTTAATTTTCGTGTGGATCTGTGCAAGAGGGCGTGCAGTTGCTGCGAATACCAACTACTATCTATCCCCTGTTCTCATGCAGTTACTGCAGCAATCCGATCGAATACCAGCGTTGATACGCTGGTTGGGGCTGAGCTAACAACTTCATTCTGGCGGATGGCTTACTCTGGAAGCATTTATCCGGTGACCGACTATCAATCTCCTGGTGAAGATGGAGATCCTATTGGTAGTTTTAGTCTCATGCCACCAGCAACAAGGCGCCCCCCCAGGTCGCCCTCGCAAGCAAAGGATTTTCTCGCGTGGAGAGTTCAGGGTAAGTAAATAGTTGCAGCGTTATAAAATATGTTATCCCATATTGGGACAGTTATCGGTCAAGTGAGTTTTTATAACTAATTGTCATGGTTCCTAAGTTTGCAGGGAAGAGCTGCGAGGCGACTTACGATATGTGGTCGGTGTGGAGGCCAGGGCCACAACCGAACCACCTGTAAGAACCCTATATGATATCAGGGAGGGAGGCAAGAACTGTTAGTTCAAGAAATCTTTTTTTGGTGAGCCGATGGAAGGGCCGGCCAAATTTTCAAGATGTGGTGTTTGTGAAATAGTATTACTAAGTCCCTTCAAAGACAATATCGACAATGATAGCTGTCTCGGAATTGTCCTTGCCTCAGTATGCTTAATATCTGTTAATGTACTTTCATAAATCTTTAAGTTGTAAGCACCGAACTCGGTTTATGTACTTCCTTCCTTTACTATGGTAATGTGAAATATTTTAGTAAGAATCTTAAATTCAAATGGAATTCAGATCTAATTAATCCAAAGTGCTGTTAAATCACAAACAAGAAAAACAATGACGGTGTAAGGGTACACTTTGAATAACTAAGATAATGATCGGCAAAATGAATTATTCCACTACTGCAAGGAGTAGCGAATATGAATATTTTTAGAGGATAAACGTAAGTAATATTGTCATCATCTGTGGCATGAATCTCTGGTGTTACACGAACCTCCAAATATATGTGGTATATATACGACCACGAGTAAAGCTATGATTTTACCTTATAGCTTAGGCAGAACGATTCTGATATCTCGAAAAGTGTGAGCAAAACGGTAACGTTTGTGAAATCAAGCAATAATGTATGATATTAAGGAAGTCTAACAGTGTTATTACAGCGTTACTACGAAAATTAGACATATGGTGTTCAACACGTGCATACAATGACAGCTAACCATAGCAAATGAGAAGAAGGAGAACTATCAAGAAGAAAACAGAGTGCCAATAACTCACTGAGGTCCGAACTCTTCGTAGAACAGAACGGCTAACTTATATGCTTCAGTACAAATCACCTCAGGGGTAATGGTCCGGCAATAGTCCAAACCACCAGATGCATGGGCTTGCATTAAAAACAAGGCTGTCACCGCAGAATTCGAATTGATCTCGTTTTGGGGGATTCCGGCGGCTCTAACCAGCGTGAATGGCTTCTCATCACGTAATGCCTTCGAGGTATAAGCCCTAAGCAGGTAAGGGAACATGTTGGTAAGCGGTGTGAACTCCTTCTTCAAAGCACTATCGGATCGGAGAGATGCATTGCAATCGAGGACGATGATGGAAGCAGATGATAGATTGACACAAACACCAACCCAATGGCGCTGGTCGAAATTAAAAGGGAAATACATATATTCCGGCAGAGAACGCATGGGATTTTCTGGCTGGAAGTACGACATTAGACTTGGCTGAAATTTGAATTTGGACCGATCTTTCACAGCAGTCTTGGTAAACTTAGTGTAGTGAGACTTAATGAGGACAGGAAAGATGGTGTTGTAGAACTCAATCTTCATGTAGTTCGCCGGGTACAGCTGTGGGCCACTAATGTGGCGCAAATAGTACATTAACCCATCAACAACCTGGGGCAGAATTAATGTTACAACCGGAATGGGATGTGAAATAACAGAAAAGATAACAACTTTAGTATATGTCTACGCATGACGGACACTGTTAATAAAAATTGTATAGCTAGATTACCGTAGAGTGCAAAACCCGAACTCTCTCGCCGATGTCGATAACATCAGAGGTACTGATAGATGCACCTTCGTACAGGCCCATGGGTCGACTATGTAAGAAAATAAATAGGGGGTTACCAATATTGTTATATGTCTACGCATGTATGAAACGGTTAATGAATAATGTATAGTTGATTACCGATCTTTCATAAGTTTTGCTTTCAACTCAACGAATTTCTCTCCGTAATTGACCTTAGGGTCACATGGCATTGCGAAAACAATTTTCCTCACGGAGGAACAATTCACGCCACGATGATAGTCCTTGTAATTTGTGATACACGTAGACTTGAGTCTTTTGCTTTTCCGTGGGGGGTCTTCTTCATGGGCTGCTTCTTTGTCATTAAGGTAATCAGGCTCCTCCTCAGCATATGGAATTCCTGAATTCTTTTTACCGTCTTGAGTTAATCCAAGCGAAAATGAGGGAGACACAGATAGAAGCAAATCCCCCTGGGAAACAATGGCGAGCATCAATCCCAGTTAAAGTTTACAGTTCCAAATAAAATCAGAAACATACCGCCTTTGTGGATCCAGGTCCATTAAGAACGGTGGTGGACAATGTCGGGGCAGAAGGTTCACTGGATTCAGCAGCACTCTATCCAAAATAGAAGAAGCAAAATGGTATTATAACTAAACAATAAAATAGCGTCTAACTAATACGGTAACTGATATAACTAACCGTATCATGCAAATTTAGTTCTGATGACATCGGCATCCCCACGGGTAATACAGAGTTTGCCCACAGGGGATTGGTCTGAGAGAATAAGGGGGGATTAGTTTGGGTCCCACTAGTAAATGTACAACCTTCGTTGGCCTGCAATTGTAATCAATTAGCTCAAATTTAAAAATAGATGCTAATACATAATTTAGAACGATAATTTAGTTCTTACAGTAGCATTGATGGATTGAGTGATTCCGCGAATAAATTCTTCATCACTTATTGCTAAGGAAGGCGCCTTGGAATACTGAGTCAGATTGATCGAAGTTGGGGCTGACTGTGATTGGCGGGAATCAATTTGTTGAGGGTAAACAGCTTCGGACGGCACTCCCGTAAATTCATGCGTTTCACGTCGGTTCTGAGTCTGGGACGGACAAGTGGGGGAGGACGGATGTGACCTCTGGTTCTGAAAATCGCTTTCATGCCTGGTTTCGAAGACAGAAGGTGCTTTTGTCGAGGCGCTGCCGATGGAATCAGTGATGGCTCGTACTATGGATGCCTCCATAGATTTGAAAAACCCAGAAATAACTTGGGAGAGCTTTCCTTCATGCAACAGTACTGCAACTTCGACATCCCTGAGCCTATTGTTCAAGCTCTGCAAGTCGGGTTTTAAAATTCCAGCAACAAACTCAGCAACAGTTTCCGGGTCGCCGGTACCAGAGAGTGAGGATCCATCGCTGATTTTATTATCTTCTTCTTGTCTCTGATTTCTTTTTCCTTCAAAGCTTTTTCACTGCGCATACGGGCCAAGTCAGCAGAAGTTAGACCGCCGGTAAACATATCTTTGCTGAAACGGAAGCCTTCCTCAATCAATTTAACCATGACATCCACCGTGCCGTCTTCGACTTCGTCATCCCACTGCAAATCCATGCCTTCTATTGCACAGTCCTCAACATCCGGAATAATGCAATGAACAAGAACCTGTACAGAAATACATATATTAATATACGTCACTCAGAGTTCGTATCATATCACAATTATGTTAACAGACAATAAATTAATTAACCGACTGCAAATCAATGAACAAACCTTGCAGTCTTCATCGAGCTCGCGGGGATGACCAGGACTAAGGGTCATCTTCACACCTCCAGGCCCAGTATCGTCGCCAACAGAGCCAGGCTCTCGTTCGTGGAGAAGATCAGCCGGAGTCGCAGAGTCATCTTCGCCTTCACTTTCAGACTCCCCGGACGGTGATAGGACTACTTCGGTAAGAGTGGGCACAGCGGCCATCATCACCAACTGAATAGCGTAAAAAAAGCCTTTAACGGCAATTGTTTTCTGTGAGAGTTCCACTTCATCCTTGGACTTAATACTGGATACTAACAAATCAAAACCAATTCTACCCCACGGATAGCTAAGAAACTCGTCGATATCTCGAATCAACTCAACATGTTCCGGAACAATTTTCGTGATGTGAGAAGTAGGCACAAGAACAGCAGCGGTAAGCGCCAGACAAGCGCATTTGAATCTCTTCTCTGGGTCGGTGATTTTTTTCTTGGCTAGCATGGTGATAACAGATTCGACGGTGCAGGACTTCAGAAGGCCGAATAACTCCGGCCAATACGGTTTCTCAGTCACCGGATTTTTCTTCTTCTTCTTCTGTACAACTTTTCCACATTCAAGCCCAGTTACGAGCGCAAATTCACGCAGAGAGACACGGATAGGAGACCCGGCGAACAAAAACCATAACTCATGTTTCTTTTTAACTCGGAGAAGCCTCGCTAACATGTAGTACCCAAAACTACCAGAGAATGACGGCATCTCCATCACCGTTAAAAGCTTTCCCAATTGAGACGCACGGAGACGGAGAACTTCAGATTCATCGAGCGCGTTTACGATGGCCTGTATGGTTTTTGATTTCTGATACGAATTGACCCTTTCTCCAACCGGTTCTTGACCGGCGGCAAAAACCCTCTCTGGAAGACTCAGATTAGACATCTGCAGAAGACATAAAATCGAAACTTACACAATTTTTATTAGATCTGTAAGACCGAAATTAGATGGAGAACTACTTACGGAAACAGAAACAACCGACTATATTGTCTGAATGAAGATGGAATGAGATGCACGATGAAGAAATTACGCATGCAGAGTCGGCTATGAAATCGGAAAGTGAAAAACGCCAGATTTCACTCTAACCTTGAATTTTACCTAGAGAGAAAATAGTTAGAGTTCTGGAACTGTAAACTTTGTAATTATCGACAGAGGACAGTAAAAAGGAATAAAGCTATTTCAAAATTTAAAATCATGCCAATACGTATATAATGATATACCTCTTATACAATAATTATGCCAGATAAAATTAATATTTATTAGGATGCTATATCGGCGATAAGGTAGGGGTAGAGTGGTATTTAAGAAAAATGCACAGTCCATCTTTCTAATTACCTAAATATGAACAGCAATTGGGTTATCTGGCACATTTTCTTTTTTTTATTAAAGTCGCAGAATATTATCTATCACTTTTTAGTAGGAGTATATTTTATTTATTTCTATCAAACTGAATTTCATTAATATACAAACATACATTGCCGATCGAACTTGCAGACGAAAATAAAAACTACAGGTGGTCTTTTCATTTGTTTTAAAAATTAATCTGGCTCGGGAATTGCAGGAACCAGCCGATTTTTGGCTTCTCCACAACACCCAGAAAGCCTAATGTGTCATCATCTTAGGCACATTGGTTACCGCCAACAATTGTTTTCTCCATTTTGTGCAGTGGTTAAATTGTGATTTCCAAATAGCCTGAGCATGTGGACAATCAAACAACAGATGTTCAGTTGTTTCTACAACAGCACAACATCTTCCACATTGATGACGATCATTGTGATAGACCATTGAATGTGCATATAAATAAGAGAATGAAGTATGAGTACAAGTTTGAAGCTGGGGGAGGTAAGTGTCACTGGCGTGAAGAAGAGTATTCTTTAGATTAGTATAAAGACACGACATTTAACCAAAAAAAAAAAGAAATTGAGCCCCAAAGTAACTACCCACATTAAGCATATTAGCTCTATATTTTTACCTAAGAGCATCCATAATGGTGAACCTTTATAGGGTTCATAAAAAAATATATATTAGTATTTTAAGAACCGCTCATAGTATTGTTACTATAATTGTGAATTCCTCATGAGATTTATAAAATAAAATAATATTTTTTTTTTTTAAATTTTGAATAATAATTATTTTGTTATTATTTCTAAACAATTGCAAATGTATAAAACCAACTTATTAAAAAAATGTGTTTTGGAAGGTTAAGTTTGTAGGAAGTTTTTAGAAAGAAGTGTTTTACAAGGTTAAGTTTGTAAGAAGTTTTTAGAAAAAAGTGTTTTACAAGGTTAAGTTTGTAGGAAATTTTAGAAAGAAGTATTTTAGAAGGTTTAAGAAGGTGTGAGAATGAGTCGAAATTTTTTTTCCCCACAGCCAGCCAAAAAGATTTTGACACATCATGCGTGAACTCTTGATGAATCCGTCTCTAAAAACTAAGACATGTCTTTAAACATATTGGACTTTCTTCATTTTTTAAAATCCAATAAACCCATGAACCCCACCTAAAACCCCTTTTAAAAACCCCTTTTAGAACCACCGATACAGATGCTCTAAAGAAACAAGCAATTCAAAGACAAAACAATGTAAACATACCAAAATACACAGTGGATAAAATGATGGACTTCAACAACGTCTTTGACTTGTTGTATCCATCCTTGTGCATGATTAATCAGAGGATGAGATTACAACAAATAACTTGACATTCATTCACAAGAACAGAACATTGTAGAATATCTTTATGGTTTTGTAACCAATGTTGGATCATATGTTACAAAATATGATCCGTTTACTAAATCAGAAGCCAATCCGGTAATAAGAAAATTGAGAGATATTGTTAAAAAGTTGTAATCCATAAATCTGGTTTCATATGACATTGAGATGCCACTATGGTCACACAAAAAAAAATAATAAACAAGAAACACTAACTTAAAGAAAAGCATAAAAAGAAAACAAGGAGAATTGAATTGCGATGATCATCTGGAATTCATATCCGATTCTGCTTGTTTTACCAAAAGGTAGGCATCGTTAAGTGAAGGAAGAGGATTCATGAGCATGATTACAGTTGTCATAAAGCTTAAGCTTTTGTTCAAACCCATTAAAAACGCGTAACGCATCTCCTTCTCTCTAGCCTCTTCTACTTGTTTCTTGATCTCGCACTTGCAACACCCGCACGCACACTTAGGCACCGGCTCGTACTCGGAAAGCTCCATCCAAGCATCGGTCACTTTCCCGAAATATGCATCCACCGAGTCACAGCCTTGCCTCATCGACAAGATTTTACGACGAACCTGGTAGATCTTCAAATCTAGGTTAGGGATGAATATCCATCTGATATCTCCCCACATCTTATGCGCAGTTTTAGCCATCATCACACGATTTTGAAGCTCTTCGCTCATCGAAATCATCAGCCAATACTTAACCCTCGAGTCACACTGTTTCCATGGTTTATACAACGGAGAGGAACGGTCCGGTTTCTCGAGGGTACCGTCGATGAAACCGATTTTTTTCGAGACTCGAAGGAAAGCGTGAAGACGAAGTTTCCAGGGTACGTAGTTGTCTTCGGCTTTGCTGAGTATCACCGCTTGAAGATCGAAGTTGGATTCAAAAAAGGGATCGATATAATAGGGAGAATGGGGATTGAACTCTGGAGATAGGTTCTTACTTTCCGCCATTGTCACTGCTCTCGAGTTTTTTTTGGTCACTACTGTTTGTTTTTAGGGCTTGCTAGGGTTTGCTTTTTATCGCGCTACAGATATTTATTTATAATAGATTCCAGCTAAATCCTTTATCCTTTTGATAATCACTAAAATATACTCTCACCGTAAAAAAAAAAGATTCACAATATTTAGTAAACTGTTGGGCTTATATGAGCCATGGATCTTTTGTCTGAGCCCAAAGTTTCAGCTATTAATAGAAGATCATCCTTCCCGCCTTCATTATTTTGTAGAAGCCAACTTAACCAATATGATTCTTATGCGTTCATGCTTGATGTGCAATCGATTCAAATGTTTTGAGAACCAATTAAAAAAATTTGGAAAGTGATGAAATTGTTGAGGTAAAAATAACATTTGATATTGACTATTGATGCAACATTTATCCAACTCTCATAAACCGTTGGCTTTCATATAACCATTATTGTTAGTATTATATCTTTTTGAATCCATTTGGAACTACCAAAAATTTACCTTAACTTGTTGATTAGGAGAGATTTTAAAAACTTGTTAAAATCCTTATTTTGTATATCGAAATAAATAAGACATGATTTTAGTATTAGGTCGATTGTTCTTAATTGTATTTTTTTAAATCAATCAAAACGCTCAAATAAATAAATATTTTAAAAAGAAAAAATGGTGAAATGATCATCGATCTGGTTCTAGATGAGAGAGTGGATATAATTATCTTCGACAAAAAGATATATCGAATATATTTTGGTACATAGCTCATCGATTAGCCATAACAGAAAAAAAAATTATCTGTAAAAGATTACCATACAAACTCAAAATAAAACTAAGAAAACTGATACATGTTGAATAAAACTAAGATCGTTGACTGAGAGACTCGAAACGTTGGATAAATGACCAAAAGAGAAAATGATATGAAAATCGAGAAAAGACAATCATACGAAGGACGACAAAACTAGGTTAGCAAGTGGATCCATTCTCTCTAGTGGAGATATTTAAAAATTATGGGAGCTTAACAGAAAATTGACCAAGAAACAAAGAATAGAAAAACAACAATATAATAAAGAAACAAAAGAAGAAATATAAAACAAAGTATATTTTTTGATTCGATTTGATGGCCATGCATTAATATAGACTTCATTAAAGTATAATTTCGTTTAAAGGTCCATGCACCTCTTTATTTTCTAATAAACAAAGCCTTTTTTATTAGAATGGAGTAGTTGAGATTTAGTTTTTCTTTCTTTCTTTTTAAATCTGGATATTTATTTATTTTTTAAATTAAGTATTTGCCATCTAGCTATTGTCAAAATTCTCACTGGACATTTATTGTGTTAAGGTTTATAATCAACATAATTATCTGGTAACCTCCAAAGTTTAATAATCCGAGAGAACTGATAAATTCATGATGTTATTAGTAGTGGAGCATGCCTGCGCATGCATTAGAAATTGAAGATATACAAACTTACTACAATCTTTTTTTTTGGGGTATGAAACTTACTATAATATTCTTTTTATTAATTGGACAAAGCAACTTTGCACATGAAAAAAAAAATCAGAATAAACAAGAGTAATTAAACTTAAAACATTTATATGACTGCTGATTGCGTGCATGAAGGACATTTAGTTGATCAACTCACACATGTTTCAAATTTATTACAATAAAACTTTTAAAATACATTGAAAATGATGAGAAAGCTTTTTCTGCTTGGATTCTCTCTTTCACTCTATGTTTCTCTTATTACAATCACCAATAATGGTTTCTTCTTGTCCTTGTCTTCTTGTGTACATCGTGTTCTTCTGCAACGTAAATAAAATATGCACTATAATTATTATCATGCATGCATCTACATAGGCTTTTACTTGTTAATTTAACGAGGTGTGTAGATGTAAGTTCTGAGAGAGTGATTACCTTGATAGAGGATTCTAATAGTGGTATGGAGGAGGAGGGGAACTGTAGAGGTAAGG